GATCGTTGGGGATTCAGGGATTGGGGAGATTGGGGAAGGGGAGGGTAATTGGGCCTCCGGTAACCTCACTCACACGACGAAACACAACGCAAGCGTTGCTTCACGTCGGTTTTCTGTGAGGCCGTGGTATCACTCCGGTCGAGCCGGCCCATTCGTGTCGAAGCATGGCTCTCCCACACTTATAGAAAAGCAAGGTGTTCATAGAGAGGTCCGGCGTCAAGGATTTAAGACCAGCTCCCTGAGCACAGGTTTCCTGCATAGATTTGAAATAATTAGAATTTTGATGAAAGAATTTGTGGTAAATTATATTATTTATATTACAGACAAAGTGTGCACATAGGTTATACGGACTTCAGCGAAGACGAAGTGAGACGACTGGTAGCAGAACTCGGCAAGCAGTTCCGCGGTGACAGGTATGTATTGCTGACTAATATTAAGTATAATACACGAACAAACTGATATTCTATTGGTCTTTACATATTAAGTTACCTGTTTTTTGAAAGTAAATTCAATGGTAAAATTAAGTTATTAAAAATTTTAGATTAACTAGTTTTCATCCCCGGTTACGCCTGCTGTGAAAAGTCTTATATAATCTTGTTCGTACTCCAAATAAATGCCTGCAAATGACTGCACGGTTAGCGCTGTGGCTGGGCGACTGGCTGCCGCGCAACGTGTAGCGAGTTCGAATCCGGCACGGAACAACTCTTTGTGTGATCTAAAAATTGTTGTTTGGGGTCTGAGTGTCATTCGTATGTTTGTAAATACATTCACGATACAGGAAAAACCTAGTGTGAAGCAACGACTAAAAGAAAAATATTATGTAAGTATGCTATTCAAAAAGAAAAAGCAGTAACAAACATACTTTCGCATTAAATTATCAGTTGGCATGAAGTAATATTAAAGTTATTACTTGGGATTTATAATATATTACGAACATAATTATACAGAAATAAATAGGTGATTTATTTACCTGTTTATTATTGTTTGTGTGAAATTAACGGGAAAATCGGTATATTGCAAAGTTATTTATAGTTTTATTCACATAACTGTTATAATACAATATTTATTTCTCGCTTATTTGGTTTGTAGTACTTATTTAAATTAATGTTTATAAACATAACTAGTTATGCCCGCGACTTCGTCCGTGTGAAATAGAAATTCACAGCTCCTTGACTTCGTCCACTCGGAATAGTAAATATTCACGGCTCCTCTCCCGTAGGTAATAGCGTGATAATATGTGGCGTATATGTTGACCCAACTTGTAAGTAATATTCATGCGAAATTTGAAGTAAACCCATGCAGTACTTTTTGGGTTTAGCCCGGACATACATACAGACAAACAGACAAAAATTCTATATACCATATTTTTGGCTTAAATGACGATTGTACATCACGTCCCAAGCATTCTTTTAAAAATATATTCAATGTACAGTTTTCACTTTCCTACGATTTTTAGATTTTAGTATATAAGTAGTATAAGTATAAGTAAGACTGAGACGGCATGGTGGCGCTGTGATCATTTTAAGTCACATCTCTCGAACATTGCAATATGTAGGAAAATCCCTTTCTGATATTTTTAGTCTTACAGAATGTAAAAAACCTATTGCCTACTTGTACGTCTTCTATATACAGTGAAACCTGGTCAAGTGAGACATCAAGGGACCTGCAATGTCGTTTCACTTATAGAGGTATTCCACTTCCCAGTGTCTCAGATATACAGGTATAAATAAATATCTGTCTCATTTACAGAGGGTTCCATTAATAGAGGTGGACTTGGAATTACGTGTAGAATTTGTGGATAGAATATGTATGAGTAAACAAAACAATGTTGTCTCAGTTACAGAGGTTTATGCAAGCATATAAAATTTACTCGCTGTCTCAGTTATAGAGGTAACTATGATGATAAATCGAAAGAACAAATCCCAGATAAAGAAGTTTACCTCGTCCCACTAACAGAGGTAATACCTCTACAGTGCCAAAGTGTTGGAACCTCAGCATGAGTTCCAGTTATGGAGGTTTCTCACTTATCCAGGTCCCACTTAACCAAGATTCACTGTATATAAAAATAAAACCCGTTTGATGTTTCCCGTTGTCACGCCATAACTTGAGAACGGCTTGATCGATTTGGCTGATCCGTTCCTTAGTCTCACTAAAACTCGAAATCGATTGAATCCGTTTGGCTAATTTCGGTTTTAAAATGTTCGTGGAAGAAAAAAATTATAGGTACAAAGTTTTCCGGGTCGGCTAGTACAGTATAATTTTTTTTAACATAGTACTTAAGTATGATGCAGTAAGGACTATATTCGCCTGAAACCAATTAACTGAATGTCTGCCTCTTTCTCTGATTACAGTACAGTTATTAGTTGAATTATAACAAAAGCATTACTGGCCAAGGTTGACGGACAATAACTGTTATCAGTTACTGAGGTTATCGCGATCAAACGGACAGACTGTTTTATCGTGCTCTCTTATATTTTGTAGGTACAAACTCAACCCTCGTTAATTTAATCCTTCGATAATTCGAACCTCTTTATAATTAAATGTTATGACTACGTCCCTAGAAAATCTCTTTATATTTCGAACTAAATGAAACCATTAAGTTTTATATGCATTGGGAATTCGAACGAAAAAATCATCACATTCATTGTCGACTCTCATAACATAACATCACGCCTTTTATCCCCGAAGGGCGAAGAGGTAGGCAGAGGTGCACATTGCGGCACTTAATGGATCTTCTCCATTCGAATCTACATTTTGGAATGAGCACCTAGCTTCACCTAGCTTCACCGACGGACTGACTGACAGACTATTATTTATTTTGTATTTGTTGACGTTTCAAAAGTACCAAATTATGGTTTAATTGAAATAAATGTTTTTACTTTGACTGTACAACCTAACACCCACTTTTCACTATTTATGTTATGTCTCTCAGGTAATAGGGCGTGAGCCTATTGCCATATACCAAGCACAATTCCAGCCTCCGTGCTACCACTGAGATTTTTTTTTTAAAACCCAGTGATACTTTGCCCGACCCAGGAATCGAACCCGAGATCCCTTGCACTCTGCCAACTAGGCGTTTATAAATATTGCTTATAAAATGTATTTTATTATTTGTTTCAGGTACCACCTCATGAACAACAACTGCAATCATTTCACCTCAGCATTTTGTTTGGTGAGTTATTATTACTCTGGCCGCGCTCAATGACCTCCTGGATTCCAATCCAACTAGTGATCTGAGGCCTTAGTACGAGCGCCAAACGAGGTTTCGTTTCGATTATTTTAAACGTAAAACAAACTCGTACTAAGGCCTCAGCGCTGTGATTGGCCGACTCCAATGAACCAACCAATCAGAGCGCCGGACGCCGTCACGTTTCGATTACTTTTAACGTAAAACTAACTCGTACTATCAAATCAAATCAAATCAAATGTCTTTATTTGCTGAACAGAGGTGTAGTACATAATTAGTGACTAAAGTGTTATTTATTTTGTTACATATCGTATCTCTTTGTTCTACCCGTTGGGCATGCAAATGTTGGGTATGTCTCAGCCATTGTACGTATTAATTAAATTCACAATCAGTCAATATATGTAGGTACGAGTCAAAAATATGTTTTCACATTCATAAAGCAATCAAATAATTAGTCATACAAATTATACATCAATAATCGACAAAAAAAGAAAAAAAAGATACAGAAAATAATAGTATGTAAATCAAATAGTCATAAATTAGTTAAATTCAAATGTCAGTAACTAAGCCCTCAGTTTGAGGATGGATGGAAAGAGATTCTATCTGAATGCTTGAAGTACTGCGAGAGAAACTTATGAATGGTGTTAACTCTTGTTTTAATTAAGTTTTACTTTTCTTTTGTGTATGTTTTATTATTGTAAATATGTCAGTTACTGTAATTGGATTTTCCGCCGTTGTGACTGTTTTAAAATAAATAAATAAATTATTCTACTAGCTACGCGCGGTTTCACCAGATTGGCTGGGTTCCTATTGATCCTATCTATACCTATATTGTTTTAAAGCATATAACCTGTCTCGATAAATAGACTATCCAAAACAAAAATATTTTTTGAAATCGAACCAAGTCGTTCAGGAGATTGGCGCGTTCAAACAACCAAAGTTCTCAGTTTTTTTTTTATTATTTATTCATAGGAGTACTGCCACATCACAAACATATAACATTTCAAATACACAAATTACACAAAAGTCTTAAGTCACAGTTACTCTTGAATCCAATTCCGATCGATCGACATTGGTATTGTCAAATTTCGTACTCTCGAGTTGCAATACTAGACCCTCCATTACATCCGTATTGCGTGGATATTGAATGAACTAAATGGTATTGAGTTTGACTTCATATTCCGTACTCTGAATGCTGTATTAACAGCTACGAATGTGGTTGTATAGTGTTGACATTGAATAATTATTGAGATTTTATTGGATTGAAATTGCATTGACATTGAGATTGATTTCAAGAGTAAGTACCCTGATCCCTGTGAGAATTATGGCGTACTTATGTACGCCTTATATACATTATATATTATGTATTTAAAACATTTTGTGTACAAAATTATACAAATGGCGGACTTAATACTGAATGGCATTCTCACCTGTCAACCGTAGGTTTTATGGTTTCAGTTTAGATGTGGTCTGGTTTTTCTGAAAGACTGTAATATAGGTCACTAAACATAACGCTATGCCCAATGAGCTGAGCAGCGATCACCAGTAGCTTGTATTAAATTAACTAAATCGGCCAAGGCTTTATTATTTAATCAAATATATACACTAGTAGATGCTCGCGACTTCGTCCGCGTGGAATGGTGACTTTGGATAGTTCTTCACAGCTCCTCTTCCGTAGGTGAGCGTGATATATGTAGCCTATATTTTGAGGTGGCCTGTTTGTAATATTTATGCAAAATTTGAAGTAAATCAATGCAATACTTTTTGAGTTTAGCCCGGACATACATACAGACAGACAGACAAAAATTTCAAAAACTGTATTTTTGGTCTCGTTATCGATTGAAGATTATGCTCCAATTATTATTTAAAAAAATATTGAATGTACAGTTTTGACCTTTCTACGATTTTATTAGATGTATAGATATATACTAATTTCAAAGTTTAAGTTGTAATTCACTATGTAGGTATAATAAGTTTTGCATACAATTTCCTAATTTACATTCCAAAGTCGTTGATTTATTGCTTAAAGTACATTCAAGGTCTTTTAGATGGAATGTTGTATTCAAACGAATAAATCGTGGTTATTGCTTGAAATATTATGTTTCAAATAATAGAATAGAATATAACTTTATTGTACACCATTAATAATATAGTACATACAGAATAGGAAATGACAAACATAAATACAAGTAATAATGGGCACAAAGGCGGTCTTATCACTTATAGTGATTTCTACCAGACAATATTTGGGTGGATATAAAGAAAAGAAATATTTAAACGGGTTGTGTACTAAGAAAATAAAAAAAATAGTAAAAAAGTAGTAATAAAACGTACAAAATATTCACGTTGAAACTTTATAAAATAGTAGCGAAAACTGGATATTTAAAATAACATGAAATCCACAACGCCGTATCCGCAACGTATCGCGGGCTTGATTCCCGCACGGAGCAATTCTTTGTGTGATCCACAGATTGTTGTTCCGGGTCTGGGTGTCATGTGTATGTGAACTTGTATGTGTGTAAACGCACACACGACACAGGAGAAAATCCTAGTGTGGAGTGAAGTTCTTTTTTTTTAAGCGATACAATGGCCTCATTGAAATCCACCGTTGGGTTACCGGAGTTTCAATCTGTGTCCCCTCCCCTCACCTTCATAGTTAATTTGCTACCTTTACGTCTGTCGTATTAATAGTGTTCTCAAAACCATATTAAATGTTTTACTATTTTATTACACTTACTCACTATCTATTGGTGGGTACGTATCTTTCTTTACCCATAAATAAATTATATAATCTCTCACAGACATAGCAAAAAACGCACTATAAAGGAAATAAATACAAAGTAAAAAATAAATCAAATAATAATAATAATACCTAAATCTTAATTCCTTTATAAAGTAATCTGTCAATTGCTTTATAAATAAATCTTTTCGAAGTTATTGTGTTTACGGAACTTGGAATAAATACTAGTTAGCACAATGCAGCAATTATTTATTGATATTGCTATAATTATCGACTGATAATTATGCGATGCGCACGCGCAACCACGTGTACATTGAGACTATTTGAGATGCAACTAAACTCGTATTATACTTTACTTCCTACTGCCAGCGACTTCGTACGTTCAAGTAGGAGTTTCCAATTTATCGTTCCTGTAGGAATTTAGGGAAATCCGCCTTCATACTAAGTTTCGGCTTCCGAAGTCAGTCAGTCATTCAATAAAGAAAGAGTTTTAAATACATGGTGTAAACGAAACTCTCCCGAAAATGAATTAGAAGATTTAAGGATGCTATTCCTCGAAGGATTGTTAATTATTTAAATCGCTGCGTGGGTAGGGTAATACGTTACAAACAAGCCTATAGAATACAAGCCAGAAATTTGACCTGCTAGCACTATTTCTAAGTTAGGTCGGAAACTTTTCACCCTACCCTGGTAGTCATGTCATTATATACATCGTTAGAGTGTCATGCTCGTTCTTTTCTAAAAGTGTCACTCTGATTAAGCTAGCCCGTTGGTACCGAAGCATGGCTCTTCCCCTCCCACGTACGTGAAAAGCTTTTATTCTTATTGGCTACTTGATATTTTCATGGATAGTTCTGTCGCTAGCCTTATGCGCTCAGCTCAATATCAATGCTACACGGGGTAGCGCGTAGCGGGTTGTCGGAAACGAGTTTATCTCGGCGCTCATCCGTAGTGAGATACTGCGGAAAGACGCGGGAAATGCAAGGAGATTAGAAAGCGATATCTAAGTGTACGTACCTACATAATCGGAACGGTAATTTGATACACAGAAGGCAAACAGACGAATCGCATTACAAATGCAAATTTCAACTGCAAATTACTGGCCTGCTTGCATGTTCGCATGCTGTTTGAACGCACTGCCGGTTTGCAACTATTTGGTCATGACTGCAATAGAACTGCGATCGGACTGCCCGTTTGATTTGCAACTGTTTGGTCATGACTGCAATAGAACTGCGATCGGACTGCCCGTTTGATTTGCAACTGTTTGGTCATGACTGCAATGGAACTGCAATGGAACTGCGATCGTACTGCCCGTTTAGTTTGCAACTGTTTGATCATGACTGCAATAGGACTGCGATCGGACTGCCCGTTTAGTTTGTAACTGTTTGATCATGACTGCAATAGAACTGCGATCGGATTGCCCGTTTAGTTTGCAACTGTTTGGATTGCATTCAAACTACGTCCGAACTGCAATTTGCGGCTGAATTGCAGTTGAAATGCAGTCCGTCTGTCTAGCTAGAGCCTAAGAAAATAAAGATTGACTTAATGTAGACGACGGCGATTGCTGTGATGGAGTAAATTATATGGTTTTTAAGAAGCTATATTCCGTAACCATTGGTCGGTTCAGTAGACAAACACCTGCTACTTTGTAACAGTGCAGGACATATGTACGGAGTATTGGTGGGTTGAAAAATGGCCTAATTGTCGAGTTTTGTCGTGTAGTGAACGCATGAATTTGTTACCACTTACTTCCACTAGTAAAAGACACATTTAAAAACAATCCTAATTTAGAGGAGACTTGTAATCCAGCGAACTGACGCAGGTTTTTGATATGATTACATTGGTATCAATATTTTATATCAATCGACTGACACAAATAAATGAATGTGTTGTTACAGGCGCTATGCGACCACGACATCCCAGCCTGGGTGAACCGGCTCGCGTACGTCAGCTCGTGCGTCCCCTTCCTGCAGCGGTGTCTGCCCAAGTGAGTATCTACGTCTATACATAACATCACGCCTTTTATCCCCGAAAGGATAAGCAGAGGTGCACACAGAAGTAACACCCACTTTTCACTATTTATGTTATGAGTGTTAGGGGGTGAGCCTATTGCCATATACCGGACACAATTCCAGACTCCGTGCTACTACTGAGATTTTTTAATAAACCCAGTAATACTTGGTCATATATATATTATCTTATACCTCTATACATCTTACCGATATTATAAATGCAATAGTTTCTGTGTCTGCCTCGTAGGCCGAGTGGTCGCAAGCGTGACTGTTGGGCAAGGAGTCATTGCTGAGTCGCGACCAATCGATTCCTAGGTTGAGAAAAGTATTACTTGGTTTTAAAAAAACATCAGTAGTAGCACGGAGTCTGCAATTGTGCCCAATATATGGCAATAGGCTCATCGCCTTTTACATGGAACTCATAACATGAATAGTGAAAAGTGGGTGTTACAATGTATAGAGGCATTAAGTGCCGTAATGTGCACGTGTGCCTACTCCTTCGGGGATAAAAAGGCGTGATGTTATGTTGTCTTTTATTTCAAGTACTTAGTTAAATGAGATGAATTGTTAATGTAGTGTGTATGAATGTGTAAATAAAGAAATGTCCCCACTGTCCGGCAGAGAGTGGCTGACCCCGGCCGCGCTGCAGCAGTCGCTGGCGGCGCACTCGCGGTCCTCCTCGCCACAGACGCCACAATAGCATCGTGAGTACTAATACTAAAGTTCATTTACAAGAATATCATAGTTTTTCCCAGTCGTGCAAGCAGCGTGCGGATCTTAGCTCAATCGAGCAGGTTTTACCCCACTCATACAAATTTTACCTCTCGCGTGTGCATTTAAGCCCTATCCATGTCTCAGTTGCGTCTAGGAATGTTTTCAAAGAGGAGGAAATAGTACCTAGACATAGACAAGATCCGGATTCGGAAAAAAATCATATTAAATTTAAAAGTAGGTACAGTTTTGTGCATCTGCTTCCAACGATTCTGACGGTATGAGCTAAGATCCGCAAATAGCATTATAAATTCGCTTGAATAATAAAATATCCCTAAAACTTTGTTTCTTGTCTATAAATTATTAAAAAATAAAGATCATCCGTTAAAATTTCATGTTGAAACTGTACCCCATGTAACACCAATTGTACACATGATATGCAATAAAAGAATTTGAATTTGAAATTTTAGAATCTCTTATTTTATTGTTCATCCGCCAAATTATTGTGATATTTATTTATGGTTTTTCTTTTTTCTCCAGAATATGTACTGCTCAGTTGCAGATAAGCAGTCAGAAGTGTTGTGCGAACTAATTCATACTAGAGTTAAAATTAGCTAGTACTTGGTTTGGCGCATTGTCGATGGTTACTAGAGAGGCGGAGTCGCACGCCGTTGAAATAAAATTTTTAGTCGATTTTCTCTATGGGTTATTTAAAAAATCGACTAAAAACAACACAGTGACTTAATAACGGTTTTGACGCGACTCCGGCCTTTGTTATATTAATCTAATTATAATTAAATCCTTATGTTAATAAAAACTGAGTTACCTCTTTCTTTTTCTAGAACGAGTGAAAGAGATGGCACTATGTTGCTCAGTTTTTTTTAACAAGGATAGATACAGTAGTGTTGTCCCCCATTTTAAGGGTTCCTATTTGAATACGGAACTTGTATTTAACGAATATTTAATGTAACTTTTAAAGGAATTGATTGTTTATGTGGTTCTCTTAACTAATTATAATATTATTTCTAATCTGGAAACTATATCTGAAGTCTATTTCGTTATAAATTAAGATTGCGTGATAAATGACAAAGTTATATTCGGACACAGACTATTTATTTCACGTTTAAAATTAAGTCTACACGTTAGCGTATACATATAAATATAGCATAAATTCTCATTCATTATTTTTCATTCCTTCATTTTACAAATTTTCATTTCTAGGCAACTCTTTAACTATAAGAATATCGGGTTTCTATATAAAATATTAAAAAATACCATTTTGTCTACGCGAATGTAAAATGGCGGATGTGTGTATGTGTGCGTTAACATAAATGAATATATACGTAGAAACTTGTAGTCCGTCCGTCGATTGTTAAAAATGGCGTGGTTTCACATTATAAATGGGAGTTTTTCTATATAATTCGTTATTTACAGTCGGGCAAAGGGCGGGCATTTTGGATTTAGTTTCTAGGTATAGATATACAAATATTTAAAAAGGTTAATATATCAAATTAACTAAATATCGCGGGTTACTCACGTAAATATACTGAGAAAAGCTCTTCTAGCGGCGATGTCGCGCAGTCTACGATCGCGCACGCTGCTCATGAAGAAGGACCCCTCTGTGGTTCGAAACTAGTAGAGCTTTTCTCAGTATATTCACGTGAGTAACCCGCGATTTTTAGTTGATTTAGTATGTCTCACGATAGTTATTACCTCTATAAAAACACGTTTAATATATCACTTCAAAAACTGCCTTCAATCAAACAACAACATAAAAATATTAATTAAACGAGCAAATTCGATAAAAACCGTAGGAAAACCTCCATAAAAATTTATCGTTGCAAAACTTAAACATGTTATTTAAATACAGATATAATATTGGTAATTCAAAAAATCGTATAATACTGAAAATTTACAAAAAAAAGTGTAAAACTATTTTTTTTATACTTTATTGCACACATACAGAAACCTATGAGTTACGTTGAATTAATATTGTGAATACAATTGACAGGCTTAACGCACAAGGCGATTTCTTACAGACAACATTTGGAAGGAATTTCAAAAATAAATCTGGGAATGGAAACTGAAAACGTATTGTGCCCTTTGCTAGACTGCGGTGGGGAGAATTGAGTAACTAGTTATATTTTAAATCGTTTGGGAGTGTGTGTTATAATAAATTTAGTAATTTAAATTCATCTTTGAATGTATTGGTATAAACGTTGAAGGCTGAACACTCAATATCTATTCATAGAAAGAAAGAATGAAAGAATGAAAAATCATTTATTTTGCTACGACACACAACAAGAAATTAGAAACACAAAAAAAAACGTATGGTGCGTCGCAGCGCAAAAGGCTGGAGCTCAGCTTAATACCGTGGACCGGGCACAGAGGCTCGAGCTGATTTTCAGCACCAGCCCGTTATAGTACGTACTAGTTACACCTACGGTAACGCTGTTCGGAGCATAGCATGATGCATATAGGAAATTAATATAAAAATGAAAACAAAATCAACAGCGACGATTAATGCCAAAAATCTAAATAAATGGATACAAAAAAAAAATAACTCTCTTTCTCGCACTAACTAAAAACTGTTGAGTGAAAGATATAGGTTAAATGTTGAACTGTAATGTCAAAAATACAAGTTTAAATGAAAACAACTCTAGAGATTGTCGCTATTTCAGCCAATTTCAGTTGAAAATAAAATAAATAAATATGGGTTATTTGTTTCAACGGGACGTTATAAAATGGTATTAGTTCTTGCTTGCATGTTTAAATTATTTGTTCCGAATTTTGGTAATAATTGGGTTGATAACAGGGTATGAAAATTAAAAATATAATTATTCCGTAAGTTAATCAATGAAAAATATTAGACACGTATTTTTTATTTTGTCGTATAATAAAATGATACTTAGATAAAACGAATCTAAGTTTAGGAGTGGGGGCTAAAACGTCATTTCTACGTATAAAATGTACAAACAAGTGACGTCACGCGACATTTCAAATCAATAATACATCGTCGAAAGTATTAGTTACTGTAAGAAAATAAAAAATACGTGTCTAATGATTTAAAATAATCTACCAGACGGACATTACAATAAAAATTGGGCATCTACCCTATTCTCGCGAATATAGATAAGGGACGGGGATCGAGGGTGGGTTGGTAGTGCGGAAATCTGGCATTCTTTACGAAACAATTGAATACTAACACAACGGGAACTATCATTTTTTTCTCACCAGATGGAGCTAGTGTCAACCTCTCGTCTTTTTGTCCATTAGGGAATTAGCTAGTGTTACGATTGGTCATGTAATTTTTCACAGCTACAGTGATTAGACAAAAAATAAATCTCCTGTAAGTTATAGAACCATCTGATGTTTGAATTGAAAAAACGATAGGCCGGCTCCATTATTCGGCTTAAACTGTAAAATTACAAAAATGTGAACTCATGCTTTAACTCGTCGAGTACCGGTTTTGTAGACACAATTAGAGAACAATAGGTTGAGGTCACCGGTGACCGCTTGGTGTTTGACAGTTTAAAAAAATATTCCTTTTTCAATAAAATGCTCTCATTTTAAAGGTAACTAAATTGCCTTTTATACGGCATACGTTATCAATTAATAAAATACTTCATACAAGAAATGAAAGAGAAAAGACGCTAGTGGCGCCGTTCCTGTACTCCCAAATGTATTACGTCAAAAAATCTAATCATAAAAAGGCCTTCGTCGTTTATACTTGATACATTTTTGTTTGATGAAAAATTCATTGTAAAATTTCACTTTATTCTGTCAATTCATTCAATAAGTTCATAATAATATATCCCCATTTTGTATTTAGTAACTTATTTAAATTAATTAGTTAATAAATATTTCATTATCGTCTCTGATAAGTACATTTACAAAACAGTGTGTCAGAATATATTTAAATCAAAGTGCACTTAGAAAATTGTGCGTTTACTGGGTTATTTATGCCGGAATACTGAAACGTTACTCAATTTTAAGTCGTTCTCAAATATCGTGCCATCTCTGTCATTCCACAAAGAATTAGTAGTTACAGAACTATACTTAAGCGCGACTTAAAATTGAGTAACGTTTCAGTATTCCGACATTAGACATAAATAATATAATGTTACTGCTAAGGTTGGGCACAGGTCACTTAACGCAAATTAATTTGCTGAAAATGACCCTAATAATTCCTTCATTTGTTTTAAACTCACACTAGAATTTTCTTCTGTGTCGTGGGTGAGTTTATAAATATACAATTTCACCTACACGGCACACCCAGACCCGAAACAATTTGTAGATCATACAAAGAGTTGTTCCGTGCGGGATCGAACTCGCAGCAGGTTGTATAGCAGCCAGTTGCGCAACCATTGCGACAGCTGTTCATTAATCTAATCTTACTGACATGTTCAGGTTTCAGTGGCTCATTTTCAGCAACGTAATTTACGAATTATTTACTTACGTAACTATGCAATAATCAGGTACACAGGATTTATAAGAAAGTAAGATTAAGCTTTATAAGGGTTTTTTAGAAGCCATAATCATTAGCTTGTTCATGTTACACGTTAAAATCTTGTACTCTCGTAGCCCTAGACCCAGACCTTGGTTGAGCAAAAAAAATGTAGTCAAGCAATAAATTTTCTGTGCCTTCCTTGGATACAAGCCTTTTATCCATCTAGTTTTCATACCACGCTTTTCTGTTCATAGAAATAAGTAAATTTCCTAAATAATTGAGTCCAAAACTGCCCAATTACGGTTTATATGAATAATTTCTACTTAACGCGGCGAAAGACTAGTATTAATGAATAAATCATTATATTTAAGCATAGCTACAAACCTGATATTTCACAAAAGTGCCATTTGATATAATAATGGAAGTTAGGTAATATAATTTAACGTCTAAATTTATAATTTGTCTTGTGGCCATTGATTGTTTTTAGAAATTAACAGTTATCGTAGAACGTTTAGAAATTATTGGCTTGAATATATTATGAGCAGAACATGATTATACATATTGTAATATAAATTAAAATATTCTCAAACTATGGACTTGACAATGCGCCAACGGAAAACGTATTTCAAATAGCAACACCTAAGCACGAGTAAAAAAAAAAGAAATATCAATCTTTCCCGCCATTTTCTTAACTTTCTTTTCTACAAGAATACAAAGCTGGCTATCCTTAAAAAAATCTCTCAAAACAGATACTATGATTATGATCTAGTAATGTACTGTAATGTTTTAATTAGTAATACAAAAATCATGATTTTCTTATAGTTCTTTGGTGCATTACATTTTGTTGTTTTGTGCAATTAATCGTGTTGTCTAATTGAAATACGTGTGTAACGTGTAAGTATCGGACTACACAATATGTGCCACGTCTCACCTCAGTGTTTCAACTTATGACATTTTTACAACTTACGATAAAACACGCTGACGTTTCTATTCAGATATTTGACGTTAATTAATAATGACAGATGTCGCTTTGACATTAAAGAAAACATCTCTAGATCCATGATTTGAAAACCTTTCTTTCTTTTATAATGTAGTCAAAAAAGATGAATTGGTTACCGACTTATAAAATAACAAAATACTATTCAAATTCTGTACTTATTTCTTTCTTTTAGAATTTTTCACGAATGCTCAATTTAAAATGATGTCAGAAGTCAAAATGAGACTATAAAACTTATTGTCAGCTCATGTACGAGCGAAGGTTTATTTCGTCTTGATCATTCCCCAATAAAATTTAATAATAAACAATGTATATTGGATAACTTCAAAGTGTCGATTTCTGAATATAAACGTAAGTTGAAAGATAGTTAGGAATTATATTATTATGGCGTAGTAACGCCGGCAACAGATACGGTTATCTTATTTATTTACTCATAAAAATGCCAATTTTCACTTAATCATCTCTTGACAAAATATAAGTGATACCTAATTTATTAATTGTGAGCATTTTTTGTAAGTTATAATATTCTAGCAGTAAACATTTATTAATCGTATAATTATAAAAAATAAAAATTGCTAGCGTAACTCTTCTCTATAGTTTTATTTTTAAGATACCAAGGAGTTCCTAAAACTCATGACAATTGTCTATGCTTACTTATAAAATGTCGAACCGTATGTGTTGCCACGTTACCGAACCACAAAATACTGTAGATTTTGGAAATAAAATAATATAATTAAAATTATAATATGCAAATAAAAGAGTTGAACTGTTAATAACACTATAATCTGTTTAAGGGTAGATTTATGTATTGAACATGTTTATTTTAAAGTTTTGATTTCTTGAAATAAGGGCAACTGTACTTGCAGTAATTTTAACAGTTTTCTAATGTAACCCATCAATTTGTCACGAATTTTATAATATAATCTCACTGGAAGTTTTTTTATAATTTAATTTCGTAGCAAATTATGTAATATGTTAACCCTTTTGCACATAATAAAGACAAAATTATTACAAATCTAATCAAACTGCTCATTCATTTATTGTATACATTGGATAAAGCATACCGAATTTATCGAATGATGTTTGAATTTAACTTACATTATATTTTTCATGTTATTGGATTTTTTGAATCAAAGAAATTGTATCGCGTCGATTTGCTAGCAAAAACATGTTAAATATATACTTGTTTGAATAAAAATCATCATTTTAACAATAATTCTATTTATTAACATTTGTAATGGAGCAGCTTTGAAAATAACATTCCTAAACATGTCTATCGAAGATTGTGTAAAAACTTGGTAAATAATCTATTTGGTGCAACATTTCTCATCGCCGCCCACTGAACTTGAGCTTGTTAGTTATTTACCAAAGTTACGTCTAGTTCTACTTACTTAGTGTGTTGCATTTATTTTATCTGACGTCTTGTGTGTGCATGTGTGTATTTTAGTTTTTTATTTGTAATTTAAGGCCATATTTTAGCTTGTACGTTCTACAATGAGTTTACCCCCATACACGACGGGAAAGTATACTTTGGAAAAGTTTGTACAATTTATTTCTAGTTATATATATAAGTAGTTGCAAGTTGAATTTCGATTTGATGTTAGTGTGGGATAAAGTCTCTATTTTTATTATGATGTGGTAACTAAATTATGATGTAACGAACTAATTTAGATGTTAAATGATATAACACTGTTACATACGAGTAAATCAATGTATATTCTATTCGGTGAGCCGGAAACATGTTGTCGATATTTTTCGCTCATTGAATGGCGATATTTAACGGTTTTTTCACAATATTGTCATATTAAAGGTTGACAATAGTATAATTTTTGAATGAATAAACTGTGTAAAAAGTTTGCAATTACATGTTTTATTTTATCCTGCTACTGACAAACCCCAATCAGCCTGAAAAATCATTTATTTCTTAGAAAAAATCTAAATGAATTCTTCTCCCCCGACACCGACGTAACGTACGACGTAAAAAGTATTAAAATATACTTGAATGTCTTCGCCGGGCATAGTGCTAATCCGCGAATCTACCATATGTAAAGGCCGCGGATCTGCAATAGATTCAGTTTTACTGGTATAGCCACTATATAGATTGTTGGCATGCCACAACTGTGCGCTTCTCATGATGCTTTCAGCCTCGCACAGCAAAACTGTGGAATGATCTGTCGTCGGCGGTATTTCCGAAACGATACGACCTTCAAACCTTCAAGAAAAGTGCGTATTAATTTTTAAAAGGCCGGCAACGCACCTGTGACTCCTCTGGTGTCCATGGGCGGCGCTGATCGCTTATCGATCCGTCTGCTCCTATTCCATAAAAAAGGTTAAAACTTAATAACTTAATTAATTTAATGAATTTGAAACTCATTCTTACATATTAAAAAAATGCGTCAAAATTAACTCGTGTTAAGGTGGTGACATACAATTAATTCCGCAGATTTGCAGTATCCGCCGCCATATTTGCTGGTGGACGCAGAATATCTACAAATAAACAATGAAATCGTCAGTCAAAACCTTAAAAAAGAAGAAATTAAAATCCCGGTGGCCACTGCAACGCAGCGCGGTGGCGCGTCTTTTTTTTAAGGGGGGAAAATCATCGAATCTGCTCCCGCCTGGGTGAGGCGGGAGGGAGTATCAGACTCTTACTGACTAAAAACCACCCCGTTCCTCCTCCTGTCTAGGGAGGCGCGGCGGTGCGGCGGCGCGTCGCGCGGGTCGGCAGCGCCCTTATAATATTCTTTGGCAACGCCCTATGCGGAGTACTGGCCACGGGATTCTTATATTTTTTCTTTTTTATGGTGTAACTATAGAGTATAATAAGTATAGGGGAAGGTGTAACGCAAAGAGTATAAATAAGTATAGAGGTGACGGAATATGACGGCTGAGTGACGGTTTCTGATAAAATAGTGTAGTTATTTATATTTTAAAGTTTTTTATACATTGTGTTAGTTTTAGGATTATTTTTATGCCTGATGATGGAAGCAGCAGCTACGCCGATGGATATATAGATAGATGATAGAGTGCCAGTCAATGACTCTGGTAAGATCCCACATTGCTCTCATTTATCCCACGTTTTTTTAAGGGTGAACGGAGCTGAGGGTTTATCTGGGTACATAAACCCAGAAATGTAGCTCCTTGCCTAGTGTCAGCCTCAGCTCCTTCACCAAGCCCTGTCCAGCAACTACAACTTTGGCAAACTTTATCTAAATTTAAAAACGCAACTCCAGTTTTAAAGAGTCTAAATTACATAATGCAGCAAACCTTTGTGAGAAAAGTGTCTGGACTGGACTGGAGGTCTGTAGAGTCCAGCTCTACAGACCAAAATAGCGGATGGCGATATCCGTGGTGCTGCTAGGGTTATATTTAGTAGTGATGTGGTCGCTACGTACTCTGCAGAAGTAGTTACAACGCTGGAGAGTAAACATCCTTCCCCGGCAGATGACCTCACCTTTCCTGACCCACTAAACCCTCAACTCCATTCTCTTTCTATTACTGCCCAAAAGGTTCGCGGGGCCGTTGACTCCTTTCGAAATGGTTCAGCTGGCGGTCTCGACGATTTGACACCGCAACATTTAAAGGACTTAATGTGTTCGAGCGCCAGTCAGGTTGGTAAGTCCCTATTGAAGGAGTTGACGGTTTTAATAATCAATTTAATGCTCTCCGGCAATGTGAACGAATCCGTCATCGATGTCTTATACGTGGCTAACCTATGTTCCATAAAAAGGATGGCGGCTTTCGTACCATTGCTGTAGGTTGCACTTACAGGCGTATCGCAACCAGAATTTGCTGCGTCTATTACAATGAGTCTTTGGCCAGCAAATTCCAGCCCTCACAACTAGGCTTTGGTTGCAAAGGGGGCTGCGAGGCTGCGGTACATGCCCTATCCACATTTTTAAACAGTAACCAAGGTGAGGTCGTCTTAAAGGTTGACATTAAAAACGCCTTTAACTCCGTAAGCAGGGACGCCTTGTTGACTGAAATGCAAAGAGAAGTCCCCATTTACAGTTTTCTTTGGCAATTTTATCGAAACCCTTCAAAATTACTGTATAAGGACAATTTAATAGAATCGGCTGTTGGTTGTCAACAAGGAGACCCCCTTGGGCCTGCCATTTTTAGTTTAGCTATAAATCCTATTATTCGTGAACTAAATTCAAAATTTAATGTGTGGTATTTAGATGACCGAACTCTAGGAGGTGACGTCGACATTGTTATAAAAGATTTAAGAAAAACTGAGTTCTATTGGCCTTGATGTGAACTATACATTACACAGAATAGCGACTCTAGCAAAATCTAGCACTTCACCTCCTAGGTTCACTAATATTCGATAAATGTTTTCCTAAATTCATCGAGGACAAAATACAAAATTTCAATCACATTTCGGATAGATTACACAAAATCAACACACATTCGGCTTTCACCCTAATTCGGGACTGTTGTTTTGGACCAAAATTTATATAAAAATATTCTCCGCGCCTCACATCTATGGAAACATTCACACATTTTAGAAAAGGTAGACAAAATTATCAGACACACACACACACTGTCATCCATACTTAATGTGGCTTTGGATGATCGAGCTTGGCAATAAGCTACTCCTTCCGATTGGAACCCTCCCATGCCAATGCATGGGAGGGCTCGGCGTCCACAAAATTTCAAGTATTAGTTTACCAGCTTTTCTGTCTTCGGTCCACAGTACCTCTGAATTACTCAGGAAAATTCTTTCTTCGTCACTGGCTAGTTTTGAGGTGCCGTGTTTGGCTGATGCAGTGGAAGCTTGGAAAATGGCTTGCCCACTTACGGATTTACCTGTTCACCCATCTTCTCAGAGACAGTGGGACGTGTTCACGTGTCGCTGTGCAGTATTATTCGTGAGTCTCAATCAACTCGTCTTCTAATACTGCAGAGCTCGCTCGCATATTGGCTGTGGGAGAATGGGAATCAGGATTGTGGGTTCAGGCACTCCCGTCACCCTTCATAGGTACTATGTTGGATGACATAATGTTCCGCCTAGCTGTATGCTTACGTTTAGGTGCTCCTTGTGTTTCTCCGCATTATTGTCACTGTGGAGAAAGAGTCGATGTTCCCCATGCCAGCATCAACGACATCATTTGTCGTGCTCTTGCCTGAGCCAGTGTACCAGCCGTATTAGAACCAAGGTTTGGTACGTGATGACGGCAAGAGACCAGATGGTAATTGGTATGTCGTTGCTGCCTTGGAAAATGGGTAGGCCTTTGGTGTGGGACGCGACGTGTGTAGACACCCTTGCGCCATTATATCTTCTAAGTACCGCTGCATGCGCTGGTGCGGCCGCTTCCGCGGCAGAGGCCTTCAAACGGCATAAATATTAAAATCTAGTGGGTAACTACTGTTTTGAGCTGTTTGGGGTCGAAACACTTGGGTTATGAGGTCCCAATGCACACTCTGTCTTTAAAGATGTCGCTCGTAGGCTAATCGACTCTACACGTGACCAGAGGGACGAGACAGAGAGGCTAATCGAGACTACACGAGACCAGACCATATACTTTGAAATATAAAAATTAATAAAAGGACTGTCTTATTTCTTCGGACAGAAAATAAGCATTGCCATTTAACGTGGCAATGCTGCCAGTCTCCTGGGAACGTTCCCCGGTGACAGTGATGCGGACGAGTACTTTGACGCCTAAAAAGGGTATAATTTTTGTTTTCTTTTTTTACTGTTATTCAATACTTTAGTTGTAGTTAATTTTAAGTTGTAAATATTTATGTAGTTACTAGCTTCTGCCCCTGACTTCGTACGCGCAATCCCGTTTTCTCCCGTTCCCATAGGATTTTCAGGATTTTTTTCTATCTTAACAACCTTCTGACAATAACAAACACAACAAAAAAACAGCCAAATCGGTCAAGCCGTTCTCAAGTCATGGCGTGACAACGAGAAACGGGTTTCATTTTTATATAGATAGATATATATGAAAATAAAAATCAAAAATCTTATTGCATATCTTTTATTACTAAATCATTATCAGTAGTGACATTCACACTCACATTCCTAACTAAAACATTTGTACACGAAGCTATAAGCTCATCATTCACTCGCGCAGTCGCCGTCAGTTACTTATGTGTAACTTAGTCATTAAAAAACTTACATTTACTTACACCCCCGATTTATATAATTATTACCTAAAATAGCTAAAATTAGAGTCACCCCCTATAACGGGCAGGTAGCAATATAAACACGTCACCCAAGTATATGGGAAACTTTGTATCGTTGAGTTGATTAATGGTGTAAAAATATTGAGATATTAGTATTGTCGTGGCGAATACTACATTGGGAAATGCTCGTCGCGATACTCAACCAACTAAACAGAACTTTTATAAACTAAAACGCAAATAATATCTACTAATAACAAAGTTGTTGTATGAACGAGCATTTTCTCAAAATGATAAATCATATAATCATTAGATTCGTGTCTTAACTACAACTTGACTATTGAAAGTATGTGCAATGTGAAGTTTTATATTAACATACATCGTTGTACTAGATAAAATCTTGCGCATTCACACATAACAATGAGATATTCCGTGCTAAATATTGTCAGCACTCAACGTGACACAATTACTATCACATACAACAAAAAAAATAAAACAAAAATGCAGGTTTCTAATTTAGACGTAAGGGAACAGTGTCCTGACTAAAATTTTAGCAAATATATTAAAACTTTGTAAAATCGTGATAATATTCTTATTAGCCTAGTTTCTTTCAATGAAACATTTCATTTTATATTTTGTAAAATTGTGTCAATTGCATATTGAATTAAAAAAAAATCAGTGCAACAATCACATATACAATGACTATGTATATATGTATAGGACAACAAACATGAAACCTGTTATATTATTTTCCAGACTGCTTTCAGCTGAAACTTTCAAGTCTAGCATTCACAGGACAAAAAGTATTGCACCAATCATAAACAATATGATACCGAAAACAATAAAGGTAAAAACAGAATGTATTTAACATTTGCTATAAATCAAAAAACAAAGTTAACTCAGAGCAACCTATCAATTTATTATTGCTGCAATACTTTTTAATTATTTTGGTTATTACCTAAATTCTGTAGAAAAACATGTATCAATAATACAATTTTTGAGTACACTTAGGTACAGCGATGACGATGTATTCGAATATTTGACCTTAGCGTTAACATTATGTTTACGACCCTAACTGACATAATAAAAAGGTATTTATAAACAACCATTTTGAACTACTTAATCTATAGAAAAGTTACTTAATATATTGTAAATATCAACATGAACTGTAATTTACCTTAACAAACACATATTACATACTCTGACACGATTTACATAGAATAACACTGCAATTTAGGTCAAAAAGAGGGTCTGAATACTTTGGAAACTAACAAGTATTGTCTTTGAATATATCTAGGCATGATATCCGGCTGTGTAGTGAAGCAGGCAGGCGAGGTTGGCTACGTAAGGGTCGTACATGAAGGTGTCGGCCGCTACGTCGGTCGGACGTCACAAGCGCGGAGTATCGTTAGAAAGTGAACATCACTTTTTCTCGGAGCCGGTGACTGCATTGTTAGCGGCGTTGTTTGCATTGGCGTTGCCGTAGTTCTGTAAAAGGGATTTTGTTCTTACTCTATGTGGAACATAATAATCTAATCTAATCCTTACTTCCTTACTTATATTATATATCGGAAAGTGAGTTTGTTTGTTTGTTCCGCTTTCACGCCGTTACTACTAAACCGATTGCTTTGAAATTTTGCAGACGTAAAGTTAGAAGTCAGGATTAACTCGTCGAGTACCGGTTTTGTAGACACAATTATAGAACAGGTGTTTGACAGTTTAAACTGTCAAACACCAAGCGGTCACCGGTGACCGCAACCTATTGTTCTATAATTGTGTCTATAATGACGGTACTCGACGAGTTAAATAATAGGGTACTTTTCCTTTTTATCCTGGAAAAAATAATATTTCCGAGGGAAAACAAAAATATTGGTATAGATGGCGCTGTGTATATTGGTATAGATGGCGCTGTATGTCATTTAAAACCAGTCAACTAAATACCTACTTATTGGAAAAATCTAAATAGCGCGATATAACCGAATTCCACGCGAGCGGAAAGCTATTTGTTTTTTTGCCTGTCTTAAACGGCAGAATGGAGATACTAATTAACGTGATTTTTTAACTGAAGGTAGTTGAAGGGATGGATAGTCATATAGGCTACTTTTTATTCTTTTGTGACGCAAGCGAAGCCGCGTGTAAAAGCTAGTAATAATATAAGTGCGTATTGCTCAGTTTTTTGTAGTTTTTGTATTTCAATTTAGCTGCATTTATCTTTATATATAATGGGGAAAAATATAACAAATACTTTCTAAGAAGCTGTCTTGTGTGATTAAAAATAACTAAATATAGATTGTATGTCCCAATTTATGTCGTTAGTAATTTGAATTTGCCAGTGAGATGCGTTGAGATTTTTTTATAGTATTTTATAGTAATTAGGTAGTTGTTAAATACTACTTTTATACAAACCTGGTAGTACTGTGCCCACGCTTGGGCGTCAGGTGTGTTTCCAGCTTGGTTACCTTGCTGATACTGCAACAATAACAGGCATTTATTAAATATTGTCATAATTCGGCAGTATTCTAAGTAGTATAGATAACTTTTTAAGATTTTTCTTCTAAAGCTTATACATAATATTGTGATGGCTCTGGACTGGAGTAACCTCTTCGAAGAGGTGGAAAATAATTAATGGATAATTGGAAATTACTGACGTAACAATTCCATTAAGTCAAAATAAAGTAAAAGATCTCGAGAAATAATAAAAAGAGTATAATTGTGTTTCATTATCATATCAGATCTAAGTCGTTCACTGCCTTACATAGGCTTCTCCAATGACTTATGGATAGGCCAGTTGGAAGCGAAACCACCCGGCTTGCGAGCCGGGGGCAAGGTCGTGAGTGTGTGGTGTATGTAGCGAGTGTGGTGCATGTGGTGCAGTACCCCGGGCCAGGCGTGCTGCTGCTGCTGCTGCCACTGCTGCCACTGGTACCACTGCTGCGCGCTGTAGGCGGCGGGCGCGGCGGCCGCGGCGGGCCAGGCGGCGGCGCCCGCCTTGCCGCCCGCGCCACCCGCCGCGCCGCCGCCCGCCGCGCCGCCGCCCGACTGCTGCTGAGGGTTGCCCCAGTTGCCCCAGTTACCCCAGTTGCCCCAACCTGGCCAAACATAAAAATTGTTAAGCGTATCATTTAGCTTTCTACTATCTGTGCCTTGCCCAATGGGAGACAGGCGTGACGATATGTCTGCACGTATTTATGTTAAATCTTTGACTGCTAACAATAGTAATAACATTCACACACTAAACGAATTCCTCTTCTAATATTATATTTAGGTGAAACACAAAAAGGAATAGCCTATTCTTATGATGGAATACACCAGCGTATTAAAAGGATTAAGCTCTTTTCTTGGTGATTTGAAAATTATCTTGATTTAAACATACCTTGGTTTTGGTTCCAGTTGCCCCATCCTCCCCATCCGCCGGCCCACTGGTTCCATCCCTGTTGGTTGGCCTGGTTCTGGTTTTGGTTTTGATTCTGTCCATCCTGTACAAGAGAATGTTGATTTAACATACTAGCCACATTTCAATAATAACTTGGCAATGTGTGAATGCTTAGTATAATGTATTTGACATGATATTGGTAAGGGTTGACCTTTTGACGAAAAGCGCGCCTTAGGTCTTTCTAATAATGTGTTTTTTTTTTTCACTTTTAGCCCACCTGCCAACATGTAGAATGTAGATTATAGAAACCACTCTTATGTAGAGGAGGCCTATAGAGCAGCGGACTATTACAGCTGTTGATATTGATTTTAAGAATGTATTTACTGACACTTGAGATGAGGTTAGAGTTGAGTATATTTGTAAAGCGTCATGTTACGATCAACAGGAGCATCATGTAAGTTACCTTCTGGTTGGGCTGGTTGGGTCGTTGGTGCGGTCCGGGCGCGTGGCCGGGCCGTGTCTGCATGGCCCCGCGCGGGCCGCCCGCGCCGCGCTGCCACGACCCCGCGCCGCCGCCATTGTTACCCGCGCCGCCTGTACATACAAATATCATCGTAAGCGGAAAACCGCAAGATTTACCGTGGGTTTCCGGCTCGAAGTAGGAACAGGAACTGGGTAGTTTTGAGTCAGAAAGAATCTTTCACTCCTAGTAAGGCGAGAAAACTCGTGTGATGATTTTCTCCTCTTAAAAAGAATTTATTTAACGATACGACAAGACTAGCAACATTGCCGCAAGAGTAGAGTACATTAGTCACCACTAGTACCTAATCTTCACGCGGTTATTATTTAACTGGAAACTGGACAGTAGCGATTTCACAGCAGCATAACGTATGTATCTGGTAAAATGTCGTTGTAAATTGTTTGTGATTTTTTCAGCTTTGTTATTTTTGTGACAATTTGCAAAAATGACGGCAATGCACTTGAATGTTCTGTGTTGTCGGTGTCCATGAGCAACGCCGATTGTCTACTATTAGTCGCTTGTTTGCCATCCTATCCCATAACAAAATGTGACATTACGTGCACCTTTGCTTGCCCGAACAAAAGGAACAGACGGCGTGGTAAGGCACGTACCAGGTTGATGGTGTCTCTTGTCAGGTCCGCGGTCGTTGGGCCGCGAGTGCCTGTCCCGCGCGAACCTGTCGTTGTTGGGGGGCGCGCCGCCGCGGCCGCCGCGGTCGCCGCGCCCGCCGCCGCCGCGCCCGCCGCGACCTGATCCGCCGCGGAAGTCGTTGCTGTAACAAGTAGGTACATGATAATAATGAACTAGCTAATTTCTTTTTATACCACCTAAGAATGATAGTGCATATATCTGATTGAAATATTTTATCCGAATCGCAAGTGCGAATAATGGCCTAAAATGTCGGATGCCATATATAGAAAGAGATAAAAAGAACGTAGATTTTTAATTAAGGAAATACTCAAATTAGTTAGGATTTGTGTCCAGATACAATAAAGATTAATAAGTTTTATTTTATGATAGCATTCCATGGCCACTGCCACGGGCGGCGCCGATTGCTTACCACCAGGTCATTCGTCTGATCGTTTGCAGCAGTTTGCTTATTAAAACTGTGGAATCAGAAGTTGCATAACATGTTTCGAAACATTTCAGTGACAACGCCGCTATATGTTAGTTCGTAAATGTACAGTGATTATTGATATATTGCTGATATATGCAGGACTAGTATAAAATATGAGTTAAAACAAAATGAAATAATGTGTGAACTTACTCATATCGGTTAGGTCCGGCGGGCGCGCCAGGTTGCGGCGGTCCCTGCCAGGGTCGGTCGAAGCGAGTGTTGGAGGGCGGGCGCGGCTCGCGCGGGCCCCAGCGACTGCCGCCGCGGCCCGCGCCGCCCCAGCGGGCCCCGCCGCCGCCGCCGCCGCCGCCGGACCCCGTGCTGCCACCCCAACGGTCCTCTGACAAACGAAAACAATCATTATAGCACACTAGCTTCTGGAAGCTGCTTCGTCCACATTCCCGTGGGATTTAAAGTAGCCTGTGTTATATCTACCCTTATTCCCTTCAGCCGTTTTTAAGTGATTGAGTAACAAACATAAACTTTCACATTTATAATATTAGTAAGACAAAGATTTTCGCTTCTTTTTTGTGCTACTAAAGTTAAAAGAGTCTAAAATTCTAAATCTTTTGTCTTCTGCAGAAAAGGGCTGTTCTTCTCATATGTTTATATCTTCTGCTGCTCATATTCCAGGAATATGATGACTTTTGTTACAATGTCTTTTTGCTTAATCTCTACAAATAAATAGTAGTTAATATAAGTACTTAGAACTAAGTAAATTGTGGCCCACAGGAATTGCTGGCAAGAGTGGTAGAAAATACGAGTTGAGCTTGATAAAAGAGGTTAACTTTGTTTGCTTATTTCTACCTTTTATTCAAGTGATCCAGCCAAAAGAGATCCAATGTGGAATTTTAACATAACTTCAAACATTCAGTGACCATTAAAATTATTATATTGTGCTGTGATCATATGATTACTTTCGATTTTTCGAAATGTCAATAGTACTTAGTATCGTAAACACGATTGGCAAAAAATGGTGAAACATTTAAATTGACCATTTCTCACTTTCAGACTTCAGTGTGAGATTTTATTGGAATCATTGTATTTGTCGACTGATCGGATAGTAACTACTTTTACTACTCAGCAAAAGTTATGATATTACTGACCTCTATCCCCGCGGGAGAAGTCCCTGCGCCTGTCGTCGCGCGGGTGTCGCTTGTCGCTGGAGCGATGTCGCTTGGCGGGCGGCAGGTCCCTGTCGTCGGAGCGGTCGCGGCGGTGCGAGTCGCGCGCCTCGCGGTGGTACGCGTCCACTACTGCAGCGGCCGCCTCGCCGCTCAGCTCGGGGAATATCACCTCGTCTAGCCACGAGCACTTCTCGGGCAGCGCGAAGTTGGCTGCGACATAGATAAATGGGTGTCAGAGCGAGCGTGGACGGGCGCGGAGTGTGGCGGAGGGCGATGGGATGCCAGTAACCAACCTTTCATGTCCACGATAGCCCCGTCGGGCACCTCCTTGCCGTCGATCTCCTCGCGTCGTTTCTGTCGGTCGCGGTAGGTGTCGTCGTCGGTCACTATGACGACTGCGACCCGCCGGTACCCGTCGAATTCCCTGAGCTTCCGCCTCTGGGCCGACGGGTATACGTTCGTCTTTTTTTACCCAATGCGATATCGAAACCGCGTGTCGCGAATTACGTCGATCGCCGTCGTCGATTCCAGCGGAGATTATGATGTGGAGCAAAACATTCTCATTATAGACAATGACGATATCCAGCGGTGGCTTTGTACTTTGTTTAATGTTTTGTGGCAGTTCGACACCTAGAACAAGCTCAATAGAGATCCGCGCTTATTTCAGTGGGCCGTTGTTTGGCAAAGAGACCGCGCACCGCTCCCGCGTGACTACTCACCTCGCGACTCTAGAAACAACACATTATATCTCGCTGATGTCGCGGAAGCGGTGCCGTGATACATAGCCTTACTCTACGCTTATACATAGGACGTACCTTATGAAGATGCGGAGGTATATGGGTGGCAAACGAAGCTAGATAGACACTATATAATTTGGCACACAAGTACAAGTACAGTCCGTGGAGAGAGATATACGAGTGGGAGGGCCGAACGGTCGCGAGTCGTGTTCGATCTCGATTGTTCCTGAATTAAGTGTGGCTGCCAAAGTGAACGTGTTATAGTAAAAGTGGAAAGGTGCTCACCTGGTCAAGGATAAAATTCCTTTTGCGGCCCTTCGCGATTTCCAACAACTTAAGCACGCATTTAGCGCACTTGGACACCATAGCGTCCCAGCGGCCCTCGTAGCTGGCGCGGAAGGGCTTACAGTCCACCTGAACGAGTACACACGATACAGAACTAGAACATGGCGCTCGGGCCTTACGCTAGCTTACAACTAAATAATAAGTTTGTGATACCAGGGACACTCCTTGGTGACTCGGACTAGCATACGTACGTCCTCTTCACTCGGCGATCCACTGGTATCATATTAACTACACTGCTATGTGGTGACCGCTAAAGGTCGAGTTATATTGGTTTGTTATAATGTTTTGTTTACAAATGTTGCTCATATTGCACCCTGTTGAAAATACAGAGGAACATTAGTTATCAATGTCACAGTTGGAGCAGGTCGTGATAGTGCTCATACCTCTAGTGCTGCAAGAGAACGGATCATTAGCGTGTGTCGAGTCGTTTTTGATCAACGTGACATTTTATTTATGTTTCGTTTGCTATACAATACGACTGGACTGTTCATTAGATACTTTGAAGTGCTGCGAGAGCTTTTTATTACTTTCATACCCTGCATTCATTCATCTCCCATTTATTTCTATCAAACTAACATGCTTTGGGATTTTTATAAGTTTAACGAGTATCTGCTAGAGGTCACGTGCGCATGATTTACTTTGAACTAAGAATGTAAGAAAGGAACTCATTATAACATTTTCTCTTGCGAATATACGTACCCTTTTCTCAATTTATTATTATTTATAATATACTTACGTGTTAACGAAAATTTCCACATGTTTCCTGTCTTAATAATGGTCGACAAAAGAAATGTTTTGTATTCCTTGTACACAAATATATTGACTTTAACACAAGTTAATGCTCACACGCATATAACCCACCAGTGATTATATTGCACAATGTAAAACATAACTGTTAACATTACTGAGAGAGCCTGTCGCAACATATCAAAGGTCCATTAAAAACTAATTATTTAACAAAACATAAATAAACCAGTGTGTACAATTATTGTATGTCTGATTACTGTGTGTTGGGGTAGAGTTATATTTATTTTAATATCCAAGTCTGACAAGAGTTAATTTACACTAATAGAAAAGCCAAATTCCTTCTTAAAAATCTTGTGTTGTTTGTAACAGACTGGATATGAAAACAAAGGAGTGTAGCGACGTGTGTCGTACCTTCATGCGGTCGAGCAGCGCGGCGGTGGACAGCACGCAGTAGCGGCGCGCGCTGGCCGCCACGTGCGCCCGCACCCACTGCGTCTTGCCGGCGCCCGGCATGCCCACCATCAGGATCACCTGCCGGCCCGCATGTACAACTCGTCATGGAACACATCTCGTCTTCTTCCGAACGTTCATTTGCAAATTGACTTCCGAATCCACGATGAGATTAAAGTTTCCAAAATAATTTCGATAGTGCCAGCAGGTGATGAATAAAGTAAGAAGAATTACGCCAGGTAAGTAGTTTGACATTTTAATGCATTTATTCGTGTTTGCAAACACATACAAGTTCTCACATACACAAGACACCCAAACCCGGAACGACAAACTGTAGATCACACAAAGAGTTGTTCCGTTCGGAAATCGAACCCGAGACACGTTGCCCAGCCACTGCGCCAACAGCGCAGTATTGCGAAGCAATTTTCGAGATAATTTAACCATTTTTGGAATAGCAAATCGCTTTTGACCGATCTTAAGTAATCGGGAGTGGTGTATGTGAAACAGTAGTTCCGTCTGTGTGGCTGATATGTTGATGATGATAATGATAGGAAATTAGTAACTTATAAAGTCTTCAAATGAAGTGTCTTTATGAGCTGAAAGAAAAGTAGTCAAGTTCCTTACCCTAAATCTCTTCCACTTTACAAAAAAGTAATAGATGTGATGTAAGTGTATAATATATTGAGTAGTGAATGCTTACCTCGCAGTCTGCGATGGTAGCTGGGCGGGCGGGTCCCTCGACGATGTCTGCCTTACAGATGAACACGTACCCCGGCAGTATGGACGCCTCCTCGCCGTCCAACTCCTCCTCCACTGTGTAGCTGAAGACATACAACAATCTCATCAGTATACTCTATCGTCACTATAACATAAACTTATAACTTCTTAATTATAAGTTAGAAATCGCCAATCCGTCTTGAGCAAGGGTGGTGGATCATGGTTATCTTCTTCATATGAAAAGAGATCTTCGCTCCGTAGTAGGTACTTATAGACTGAGGATGTATGTGATGTATAAGTGAATTCTATGGTAGAACTTGCTTGATCCAACCCACTTAACTAAACTCACAAACTTTCGCATTTTCATTACGAGTAAAATAGGTTCCTATCCTAACCTATTATGACCCTTAAAAAGACTTCAAAATGTTCTAGCTTAGTTTGACTGTATGTTGTATTTTGACTGTAACTTTTTTTATTCCTATTATTCTTATTTATATTTTATATGGAATAAACCGGTAAAAGAGCAGACGGATCACCTGATAAGCAATCGGCGTCGCCCATGGACACCCGGAGTAATAAAGCGTTACAAGTGCGTTACCGGCCTTTTGGGACTAATCCCAAAAGGCCGGTAACGCACTTGTAACGTAAATTCCTAAGAATTTGAGGAGATTCAGGAATTAGGGAAGGGGGAAAGGTAATTGAGCCGTCAGTAACCTCACTCACACGACGAAACACGTCCGTTTTCTGCTCGGCCGTGGTATCACTCAAAGGTCAAGCCGGCCGGCAAAATTATTCTCTGAATAATTGTTTCCATCCGTTTACAATATAATGTAATGTAATTCCGCTTGCGATCTCATACATCATGTAACGCACGAGAGTAAATACGAAATATTGATGTACCTGCTTAGAATACCGACACCACACGAGTGATATCAGAACGTTAATTTCTTTACAGGATACTTTACTTTTATATAAAAAGAATGTACTATGCAATTAAAAATAAGACTACATATAATTTTTTAGGATTCAGAATCCAATTCTGTTGTATCCTACCACTTTCTAACCTTAATTAACTCGTCGAGTACCGGTTTTGTAGACACAATTATAGAACAATAGGTTGCGGTCACCGGTGACCACTTGGTGTTTGACAGTTTAAACAAGTACTGAGGTTTGTCAGAATTGTCATGGGAGTCAAACTAATGGGAGGCAGGAGTGACGATTTGAATGAATGTATGTATGTATGTAAATAAACTTACCGGATGACGAACTGAATCCTCGGGTCCAGTACATGTCCGGGCGGGGCCTGAAGTACTTGCTCTTCTGTTACCTCAGCGAGCTCACCCTCTGTGGAGCATACAAATTATATTTAGTACCTGGGATGACCAAACTTTTTAGTAAACGACATTTTTTGAATGTGAAACATCGGTTTATCGCCTCCGAAATCCCCTTAATACAAAATTTCAAGAAAATCGCTCATCGCGCATCGCTTGATACACATTTACAATTGGTCCTTTATAGGTATTAGATAATGTCGCTTTAGGTGGATATTTAACATTATACTGTCACGTTTGTCAAATGGTAACAAAGGCGACTGTTAAAATTTTTTTAAAAACTAAAGTGTCAGCTCAGCGGTTGGCCTCTATCTCGCCTGGTGAGAGATAATATGACCGACGATGGAACCGCCTACCTATAAGCTACCTATTCACTCGAAACTTTTCGAGTGATGGAGTAGGATGTATACTCTCATACATTGACTGTGGATCTCTGTCATGGCTTGAAATCAATCGAGTAACTACGTTAAGCCAATAACATTTAAAACAAACATAACATCACGCCTTTTATCCCCGAAGGGGTAGGCAGAAGTGCACATAGAAGTAACACCCACTTTTCACTATTTATGTTATGAGTCCCTGTAATAGGGGGTTAGCCTATTGCCATATACCGGGCACAATCCAGGCTCAGTGCTACTACTGAGATTTTTTTTAAATGCCCAGTAATACTTTGCCCTACCCGGGAATCGAACCCGAGACCGCTTGCCCGGCAGTCGCACTTGCGACCACTCGGCCAATAAGGCAGTTAAGCCAATAGTGTCTCACAATACTTATAATATAAAAACATTGAATGTAATTCCGCTTGCGATCTCACATGTTAAAGTAACACACGAGAGTAAATACGAAATATTGATATACCTGCTTAGATTACACATATTACAATGTGCAATATGTGTTTTGAATAAAGTAAATTTTGGGCAGGAAGTACTTTTCATTTCTTATTATTTTATTACCTTTGCGACAAAAAGGTTTAACAAAATATATGAAGTTATTTATGTTATCATCAATTTAATCAATTTTCGACAATTCTCAGAATAATAATATATCACTACTAGTAAGCTCACCACAATCCTAATAAATAAAAAGTGGGTTATGCGATTTTATACGGTTATTACATTATATTAGCTCTTTCCGCACAGTTTCACTTGCTCTGCTCGGCTCCTATTGACCGTGGCGCGATGAATCATAGCCTATAGCCTTCCTCGATAAATTGACTATCCAACATAAAAATATTTATTCAAATCGAATCAGTAGATAGAGATAAGCGCGTTCAACAAACGTATGTTAGCATATGTTTGGTACAGACCAGGTACAGTTTCTTCTTTGGGTGCGACCTCAGGCGCGGGCTCGCTCTGTTCGGTCTCCATGGGCTCGGATTTGTCTTCCTTCTCTTCGGGAGCCTTCTCCGCCGCCTTATCACCGTTCTCCTGTAAAATAACGACATAATGTTATAGAAATCAGTCTGTTCTACAATACATTCTAAGTATTACATGGAACTTGTATCCTGTTTCAGCACCTCCAAGTACCCGATAAACTTATGTGACAGGATAGTTCACACAACAATATATCCACACCATAAATGTGGGAGAGCTAGGCACGAATGGGCCGGCTCGACCGGAGTGATACCACGGCCTCGCAGAAAAACGACGTTCACGTCGACGTTTCACGTCGTGTGAGTGAGGTTACCGGAGGCCCAATTACCCTCCCCTTCCCCAATCTCCCCAATCCCTGAATCCCCAACGATCCTCAAACTCCTAATTCCCAAAAGGCCGGTAACGCACTTGTAACGCCTCTGGTGTTCCAGGTGTCCATGGGCGGCGCCTTGCGGATTGCTTACTATCAGGTGATCCGTCTGCTCGTTTACCGTTTGGCTTATGCCATACAAAAAAAAAACCCGCGGGAAGAGTAGAGGAGGTGACAAAAAATTGATGTGTACAAAATGTAACATTATATCTCCATACCTTAGGTTCATCCTTGACGTCACTGGTTTCCTCCATAGGCTGTGCGTCGTCCTTGGCACTGTCATCCTTAGCACTGTCCTCCTTGTTCTCTCCCTCGGCAGGTTCAGGTTCCTCCTCACCCTTCTCCTTCCTCTCCGCCGCCTCTTTCTCTTTCCTCTCACGCTCTTGTTTTTCTCGTTCCTAGAGAATATGGTATTTCGTTTAGTAATGTATTAATTGAAACGAATATTTGTGTTTTCGAAGAAACTGTTTTTTTAGGATGGTAATGGAGTCGACTGATCACCAGTCCGTGAGCAATCAGCGTCGCCTAGAAATACCCACAATAGCAGACTTTTAACTGTTTCACGCCAGTTCACTTCGAGACTGTATAGACCATTTGTTCAAAAATATAGCTTTCCCATGGAAAATATTAATTATAATGTATAATATGTTATATATACCTCTCTCTTCTTTCTCTGTCGTTCTTCTCTCTCCGCCTTCTCCTTCTCCCGTCGTTCCTTCTCCTTCTTGGCAGCTTCCTCCTTCTTCCGCTGCAGTTCAGCTTCGATCGCTCGCTTCTCAGCTAGAACTTGTTCCACGGGCACTTCGATGCGGTGGCGGACTGTCTTTGTCTTTGTTAACATGTTATATCTGGAAAAAATAGAAATATAATCAAAATTACGTATTATAGTAAACTAAATTCATCAAAAACCAGTGAAAGTGCAATACTGGACTATGTGCCTCTTCAATGTTAGTAAAATGTAGGACGATGTCATTCTTGATTTGTGAAATTTTAGGAGTCGACTTAGTCATAAATGGTCTTAAAATAGTAGATACCAGACAGTGTATCTTCGCCTACCACTTCACGCAATAAAAGGCGTGATGTGATGTCGCGAATAACATAACAAAGTATGAAAATAAATTCTTCAAAGGTATAACTGAATTCATCCAACATTATCATTTATCAACATCAATATGCCCCCCCCCCCCCTCACGACATAAAACGACAACACCAAGGCCGTTAATAATGTACTCAATATACTACTAAACTATAAAACCTAAACAACTCACTTTCTTAGGCAGTCAATCAATTTTATCTCAGCCTCGATCGAATACCTTGTAACCAATAAACTTTTAATGTTCTACAACTCTATCGATTTTACTCTAATCCATTATTACCGAAAGCCGATAATAATAATAATAATAATTACCTTACACACAATGTTCATATTTCATCTTTATTACACGCAAATGACATGAAAAATGTATTTCCTATTGGTATTTTGTGTACTATCAAAATACACAAGAATAAACATGGAAACGAAACTGTCCCTGCGGTAATAGAAACCCGTAGCGTATGTAACACTACGGGCTGATCCCCGCAGAAATATGAAAGAAACAATGTTTACAAACATCTAAAGAAAAGTGCAACATTTCGCGAGGATCGAACTCGGCGTCCCGTGTTTACAAAGCGGGAGAGATTCCCCTCCGACAAACCGGGAACTTCAATTACCGCTCAAATAGCACACCACATGTCGCGAATCAATACATCGGGGTGGTAATGCTAAAATTAGTCCGGTTGCGATGACGTCATCTCGTACGTTCATGAATGGCTCGTGCGCGATCGTTAATCGGATGCGGCACTTTTTGAATGATTTTTGTGGTAGGGTAAATAGAAAATGTGATATACTATCCATACTAGAAAACAGGATGTTTCTGTTACTATGTAGTGGATATTAATATTGTAGTAGCAGCACACAGTCTTCAAAGAACCACGTAAACAATTGTCTGTTACAATTTTAAGTGGCAAATTTTATTAAATAAATTGTCAGTTTACAATACTTGTAACTGTAGATTAATCCTTACTACTATTTACGATAGTTCGTACACGTCGCATCAATAAACATTCGAGCACACAATTTTACCTGTAAAATAATTAACTAATTGACATAATTTACCTGTCATAACCGAAGTTGACTTTGTAGCACATGTTTTTAGTGAAGATGTGAGGGAATAGAGGTTTGCCGTTCAGTGCAGCCTTGTCAAACTCAAACGCATTGCCGAGTTCCTCGCCGTTTAACGTGTAGGAAATCGTGCAAGGGGTAGATTCCAAGTCCTAAAGGAAGAATACATAACATTAATATATTGTATAGAAGATTTACTAACTTAATTTATGACTAAAGTAACCTAATTTTGAGAAAATTTCTGTGACTATATTATGCAAAATTTTACAGTGCTTAAATCATGCTGAGTAATTGATAGTCGCGCCAACGTGGCCGCCCCCGTTCCCGCATGACGGTTTATTCCGACTTAGACAAATGCTATGTAAATGCTAGTCGAACGAGTAAATAGAAAAATCACATTTGTAAGCGGTTGATATCTCATTCTCTACAATGTTATACAGAATTTCTGTTAACAACATCATAGACTACTGTATTTTATAAAGTTCGTATATATGTATGTATTTATTACTAACCAAGTAAGCACCAACGACATCCTTCTCATTGAGAGTTTTTCCGTATTCCTTGAACTCGCTGTTGGTGAGGGCGCGACCGGAGCTCTCGTACGCCCAACTGAACTCACCTTCACCTGTTTCATTGTATGTATTAATAAAATTATCCGATACCACCCACCCCGGACATAGGGTTGCATGGTTCTCAATAGATTTTTTTTAATGTACCTAGTCTCCTTAATATTTTCTTCTGTTTTGTGGGTATGTTTATAAGCATATAAATTTAAATACACATAATGCACAGACACAAAACTTCTGTGGACAACACAGAGTTTTTCTATGTGGGGATGGTACCTGCGACACGCTGTCGGCTTTATTTACACTTCATTATTTTCGTTTTCGGCTTACTCACGTAACTGTTTGACAAGGAACTCGACTAGTTCCAAACCATTTATTTATATTTACCAAGATTGAGGGAGGAGTCCTCAGTGGACCAGCCTATTCTCAGTCCAGAGGTGATCTGTTCTTTTTCTCCACCTTCTGTTGTTAAGACCGTGGCGCCAACACGAACCTAAGACAGAAGACGCATTTATGAAAATTCTGTTTTGATTGTGGATTTTTCGACTTTACGAAAAGAAATGATGATACTAACATAATATATTGTTTAAAAATATAAATGAAGTACAAAACTCACCTCATAGCAGACTTTTCCAGCATCGACGCCGTGCGTAGCCCGAGTACCAGCCCAAGCATACGCAAAGGCACCATCGCTGAGAGGGATCACACCATTCAACGCCGGCAACTCCAAGTACTGGTTTAGATCACTGTCATCTGTACACCAATATTCAATATTAGACACTAAACTTTCTACTTTAAGCCGCGTAACCTACTAGAGTATGCGTCCATGTGTACTAAGCATATAGCATAAGTAGTGTTAAGTAGTTGTATAGTATTGTATTGTATTTTGAACAGTGTTACACGTCGAGCTACAAAAAACGGGCTTATCTAAGTCTCGTTTTTTAAAATAAAATATTGGATACGAAACCCTCATTAATCACAAATGTCGGGTGTTGAATTCTGTTATAACGAAGAACATATTAAGAATGGTGTAAAAAAAATTACAATATTCTCCCCCTACAATCGGAGGTGTCATATCCACATGCTTGGTAGTTGGCTACTTTGGATGCGAAGATCAGTGAGTGAGAGTGATGACGTGCTAGTCATACATATAGTAGTAGCAGGTGGCTTTAGTCAGTAAGATTCTGATTAAGAGGGATCTTTTGATGATTTTCCATCCATAGAAACAAAGGTACTTTATAGATCACAATTACGACACTGACAATTGGGATATTGGCTATCTATTAACATACCCAAATCTTAACCTTTTTTTAATATTTAATGTGCCGACGTTTGGCCACGATCTCGCCTGGTGGTAAGACAACAGTTGGATAACAACTTAAATAAATAAAATACAGACTGTTACTTACACCAAGACAATGTGATTTTGCTGTCATCAATCTCTGGTTCAGCCACTTTAACCTCGGCTGCTTCCTTTCTTTCCTTCATTTGCGCCTCCTGTTGATAAAACAAATTAGTTTTAGGTTTTTTTTTCTAAATGTTTATTTTCCAACTTAAACTATATAAATATTAAATGTCGTAATAGCTTGGAGATTGCATTGTGGTGACAGTACCTGTTATTTAGGCCAAGGATAATAATTGTAACATAAATAAAATCTATTTATCCCTTCATATATAGTTTTTAAAACGGCACTAAACATACTACACTTAGCAGTCCTGTGAGATACAAAGTGTATTTTGGGATATTATGAAATACTGTATTATCCATTACTATTATTTCGACGACTAGAATAGGGAACGAGCCTATTATTATTGTACTGAAGCTTCATAAACTAGTATTAATAAAAAACTAATGATTATTTTTATATCAATTTCTATTGATTGTTTATATCAAACGTGAATAACGAAACTGCATTATCTAATGACATATAGAGTTATTTCAAAAATAAGTACTACATTTCAGGGGATGAATGATCTCATGATTATAACTTTTAGTCCCAACTTGAGCCAGGCCAAGCCTGTATTAAATTTAAAAAATTTGTGATATCAAACTAATAGTAAGTTTTAAAGTTAAAGAAATAATAACTAATTCTACTACCGGTTGTAGAAAGATACGTGCAAATCAATCGCATGATAAATAAGAATTTAATCTCCAAAGCATCAAAGAAAAATATATTTGATTTCCACAATACTTTTTTTGATAATTCTATAATTTTCCTTTGGTAACTTTTATCATGAGTCATAATAAATAAAGTTCCACCCCCTGAAAGTGTTTTAGTTAATTTTTGAAATGACCCAGTGTGATCTATGTACTTTGTACGTGTATATGCGTATGCGACATACCTCGGGAGGAGTAAGCACTTCATTAGTGACTTCGATAGCCCTGTAGAAGTTACTCCACCGAGCCTTCTTTTCATGCTTGCGCTTCAAACGGTTCAGCCTGACTGGGTCCTGTTCATAAAGTTTTATATTATTTTTTTAAATTGACAACTGCGAACATTCGAGAAAGGCTGACCGTGAAGTTTGCTTACATTTTAATGATTGTTTATGGATTTTAAAGTAATATTACTAGTTTACTAACGGAATCGATAAAGCTTGCCTATGGAACTAATCTAAAATGTTGAGTGACGTGTATGAGTAATGAGGTGTAATTAACTTTTGTCGCTTCGTATCGTTTCAGGCTCCTTGTTAATCGCGTAGTAATAACTTTACGTTAAATGATTGTGTTCATTATTTACGTGTGTGAATGAGCGAATAGCAAAAATCCACAAAAACCAAGTGCATGCAAAACAGAAACTAACATTCAAAAAATCAAAAGACAAATACATGTACGTCTTTTGAGCTTCCGAACTCGTTGTAACAAGTGCGTTTTTGGAGTTCTGAAATTCCCAGCAATAATCACGGAGTTTGTGATTTACCTGGTGTTTGGTAACAAGCGTGATTCCTCTTACAATGGGCCTAGTATTGTACAGACGCCAATATAACAACGATCAATTAGTTTTTATTCAATAGACTCTGTTACATTATCATAAACGATCGGAGATTGGTCTTAATTGGGTAGTTTCCGAGGTATCAAAATTAAAAATCTAATTAGTCCGTCAGTTAGATAATGAAAAAATATTAGACACGTATTTTTTTTTTCTAGTAATAAGTTGCAATACTTAGATAAATTGGTGCTAAGTTGAGGAGTGGAAGGTCGTTACGTCATAACGTGCTACAAAATGTGATACGCTGTGACGTCACTCGATATTTAAAATTAATATATCGTCGAAATTATTGAATTTTGTGAGAAAAGAAAAAATACGTGTCTAAAGTTTTAAATTAATGTACCAGACGGACATTAAAATAAAATTTAGGAAACTAGCCTATTCCGAAATTGATAATCAGTTTTAATCGAAAACCCTTAGTGGTTCTGTTGAATTTCTGTCAAAATGATGTCAAAAATCGATCATAGTTTAATTATTTTGTATTAAGACCATTTATTGGTGGTGGCACGTGCATTGGATCGCTCGATTCCCTACAAAATGGTTGAGTTGGGCGGTGCTAGGTTTCGCCAAATGTTCGTGAACGGGCACCGTCGATTGGAACTGGTCAGCTCCAGACTGTATCATTTTATTTTATTATCCTCAAGGTTATTTTCTTTTTCAGTCTTTCTGACTGGATTTAGGTTTTGCATTGTTCTCGCATAATCGAACCAATAAAACTATGTAACTAGAGAATTGTATTGTAAACCTGATTGAAAAAGAGTAACCTATGGAGTTTCTTGCTCGTTCTTCTCCATAGGAATCTACGCCTTGGAATGAGCAACTAGCTTCACTTATAAATTTTTGTTGTTTGACGTTCAAAAGTGCCATCCTGGTCTAATTGAAATAAATGATTTTGACTTTGACTATTAATTTCGGACATTACCTTAAACCAATGTAAATGTAAAAAAAGTATATTGACCTTCTGGCGTTTGTACTTATACATAGACAGTTCGACAAGTAAATAGTTGATGAAAACAAGTAGGACTTACATTGCTGAGCTCCTCGAGGCGTCGCGCGTCATCCTCGGCCTGCTTGCGTTCCCTCTCTAACCGCTCCTGTTCACGGACACGCAGACGCTCATTCAACTGATCCCATTCCTCTTCTTCCGTAAGTTGACGCTGTTTGAAAATGTTAATAATTTTAGACCCCAGTTTAATCATGGCCCGAAGTAAGAATTAGAAAAGAAGTCAAACTAAATTAATTGAAAAACTGTTTACACACGTAAATAACTGATAAAAGCTCTTCTAGATACGGACGTCGCCGCGTCCGCGCACGCTACTCACGAGTAAGAGTCCCGTTGAGACTTGAAACTAGTAGAGCTTTTCTCAGTTATACGTAAGTAAACCGATGTTTCAATTAATAAGGAAAAGAATTTGTGTTGAAAGTTAAAGTGAGAAATAACGAGAAGATACACCATGTGCGAACTTCCACGAAAATTGTGGCTATCTTTTGTGCCGAATATAGATTAAAATTATTTTATAGTTACAAATAATGGTACTCACCTCTTTCTTGCTATCTTTATCTTTGTCTTCTCCTTCTTTCTCTTCATTAACCCCTTCCTTTTCTTCTTTCTTTTCCGGCTCCTCACTCGCTTGTGGTGGGTTTTCTTGCACATCCATTGGTTCTATAAAGAAAAATAACATTACAGTATTCCGATTTACACGTTACATTAAACATAAATGTAACATGTAATTTAAAAGTAAATTGTTAACTAATGCTTACCAGCCTCTGGTTGTTTAGCTGGCACTACACTCCTGAAACAAGAAAAGGAGAATTAATAAAACAAAGGCTTTTTATAAACCTGTTATTTTCCCTACCTAAAATATGTAGGCCAGTGACAAATGTATATTGGGAAACTTGTGTAGGATTAATAATTTATTTTACTTGATAGGCTTCCAACCAATAAAAATAATTCAATTTCTATGAGTTTATGTGACAAGCAATGCATATTTTGACAAAACTATTAAACACATTGTCTAGTCAATTCTTATGTAGTTTAGCTGTAGACTTACGTACATATACCGTCAGAAAATAAATTATCAATGCATGAAATGATGAATGTGTAACACATGCACTCTTCTGAGTAACAGTAACAAACTAGTCACTGGTGTGTGAAGGCTTTTTAATTATATTAAGTACACATGCTTTTATCATAATAAAAATATAACAGGCCAAAGTAAATAAAGGTTGCATATTGAGGGTTCCTTATGAGCGTTTAACATACAATTCTTTTCTTATTAGAACATTGTGTATTACTTAACATCATATCATAACGCCTTTTATTCCCGAAGGGATAGCTAAAAGTTCACATAACGGCACTTAATGCCACTGTACAATGTAACACCCACTTTGAGTCCCATGTAATAGGGGGTGAGCCTATTGCCATATTTCCAGACTTCGTGCTACTATTGCGAATTTTTAAAAACCCAGTAATACTTTGCCCGGCCCGGGAATCGAACCCGAAACCCCTTGACCACAATCGCACTTGCGACCACTCGGCCAACGAGGCAGGTCACATTGTGTATTAAAAAAAAAGTAATTTTAATACTATCACAGTTGAAATCAACTTGCAAACAACCACACAGACAGTATCCTTATGCACAGAACCCCATTGATCTAAAAAGAGTATCTTTAAATAGACAACTGTAGTGGATGTTTCATTATGAATAATTGAGTAGAAATTGATGTTTTATCGAACAACCACATCGCACGCGACCTTGGTACAATCTGTTTTATAAATGTATGAACTAAAAATATGTAAATTATCATAGAGTTTTAATGTTCATATATTTTGATTATATATTTTTGAAAGTTTGATAATTAAGCTTCACTATTTCACTGACTCTTGTACCCATACATAACCACTGATACGATTCAATTAGATATCAAAAAGTATCCTCCATAAACAAAGTTTTTAAGCTTATTTTTGTTAACTTACTCGCTTTCAGGTTCAGGTGCTGCTTCCTTTTCAGCCGGTGCTGCGACGGGTGCAGGAACAGGAGCTGGGACGGGGGCTGGCGCGGGAGCCGGCGCTGGTGCTGCCGCTGGAGTGGGCGCCGCGACTGGTGCTGGCGCTGCGACTGGCTCGGGGGCCTTCACGGGTGACGGGGCAGGCGCCGGCTCGGGCGCCGCCACCGGTTGAGGAGCCGGTGCAGGGGTTGGTGCTGCCTCCTTAGCCGGAGCGTCATTGTCAGAGTCCTCTTGACTTGGAGAATATGGCTCCCCTGGCTTTGGTTCCTCTGGTATAGGTTCAGGTGGCTCTTCACGTATCGGAGGCTAGCATAATTAAAAAATGTCTATTATATCTACAAAGATGATGCATGTTTTTCTTTATAACACAAAGAGTATCTAGTATACTATAATTAGAACAAAAGATAAATTCCCCATAATTATTTCAAAATCTCCTCATGGTCCGTGTGATCACAATAAAGTTATAACTACTACACTAATTTTTATTTAGTTTTCTCTAGTGGATTAACCACTTAATACTTTCTCAAGGTTTAATTTATGTAACTGAGCAATTTATGAATATTTTAATGTGGAAGATAAATCTACAGGCATATAAAGGTACTTACAGGTACTTTAGCAGGTGTGGCCGCGAGTCGTGATGAGGAGGATCGTCGAGTGGTCCTAGGAGCAGGTACAGCTCGTCTCGGAGTCGCCGGCTCGTCACTGTCCTCTGTAGATGTGTCCAGTATAGTAGTATCCGCAAGAGCTGTCAACAACGAAAGGAATAATGATAGACAAATTCATTCAGTAAATAAGTTACAAAATAGTATTTCTTAAAAAAGAAACACAAAAAGTATACAGTTTTAATACATAACAATGGACTGAATTTGATTAACTTTTACATAAGTTTGACAGTGAAGTTTCTTTTTTATGGTGTAGTTGCATTTCTCTATTGTATTGCTATGTGTAAATAATTAAAGTACCTACTAGCAATTATATGTTATTACATTTTATTGAACTACATATAAAACATCAAAAAGTTTATATTTGAAAAGAAATATTTTAGTAACTTAACAATTCAATTATTCTAAATATGAGCATATCTATGGCTTATAGTTTTTCCTCCAATCTTAACATAATTGACTAATTCCTAATTTCATCACAAACAAATAATCATTTTCTATTTTCTAAAAATAAAGTTGTTATTTACTCTCAGGTAGCCAAATGTATATTTCACTAACTACTTGTCCTATGAATAAGACAATATAATTACGACAGTTAACTCGTCGAGTGCCGGTTTTGTAGACACAATTACAGAACAATAGGTTGCGGTCACCGGTGACCGCTTGGTGTTTGACAGTTTAAGATTTATATGGCCGATTTTGAAGGAATAAGGCCCAATTTGAAGTCATTGGTTTCATTGTCCCAGTATAAGTACATTTATTTTCAAATGTGTTAAAAAAAACTTTGCCAGAAGACCTGGTAAATTTTACTAGATCCGAACTGGCAAATCTTTTCTGGCAAGATTTGCCAGTTCGGCCTGCGTTTTTTATTCAACATTATATTAAGTTTAATATTAATACTGATACAAACAAATCACCACATTACACAAAACAAATGATTAAAACAATGCAAACATTTTTTGTTTTGTTATTTGTTACCATACCAAATGACATACAATTTGACTATAGTATATATTTTTTGCTCATGTTTTGTGTATCATACATTTAACATATTGGATGCCATGTCGGACAACGGAGGATTAGCTTTTAATAGTTTTTATCAGCAGTTAAGTAAAGGCTTAATGATACATGAAGTATGAACATATCATACTATCATATATTTCGTTTTTATTCTGCTAAGGGAATTAATAAATAAAGCATTGATTTCTGCAAAGTAATACCTATCAGGTATTATTCTATCAGGTCTATTCTATATAGTGATCATACATTTATTTTGTTTGTATAATATTGTCATTAATCCCTTAACTCAAATCTGTAAAATAAACTATTTTTCCAAATAATAACTAGTCTTAGGTTCGTTTATCGGCAGTATAACATGGTGAAATGTAGAATAAGGTAACCTAAGATTAAATGAAGCAAAGAATTTACTCCTGGTATCTGTTATTCTCAGATAACTATAACATTGGTGAAATCGGCCCTAAGAGAAATAAGTTTCATAATGTTCTTTTCTATAATCTTAAATAAAAAAATATCATTATAATTACCTACCTATGAACAATTCACTTCATGATTCAAATAAAAATATCACAGCGCATTTCTCCCGTCAAATCAAAGAAACAGTCGTTATCAAAATAGCACAATATTGTGAAATTATGGAAAATATTTCTTTAGCTCTTATGCTGTTTATCAGCAAGGATATTTGATTAAGTAACTTGTAACACTTACGGTCACTGTGTAGTTGTTATTGCTGTTATCAGAACTTACTTTTACAACTGACCAATTTATCAAGCCTATAATTTACTTTTAGTATTAGCTGTTTTATAGCTTTTCAATTTAAAGTTCTGGCTAACAGATTGATTGACTGATATTTCTGATACTATATATTCCGACTAAAAGATAACTGTTTATTTTGAAATGTTTAGAAGTAATGCTATTTTAGTGACAATATTTTATACATCACATATTTAGTATATGAATTTAAACAATGGGCTGACAGAGGAAGGTACTGTAAGACTAAAACTATCTAATCATTGGTTATAATAATGTAAACCAAAATTATGAAGTTGAATGACACACAATCACAATCAATGTTTATACTCAGATTTTACTGATAACATCTCCTTTTAATTTCTCTTTTGTTGTTAGCAGATTTTAATCATGAACAAACTGAAACATTCTTTGACCTTCCTTTGCCCAATGCAATAACAACAGACGTTACCATAATTGCTGATTGAGGAGGAACAAAATACCATAATACCAAGTTGTGGGCCAAACATTTTTCCCTCCATACAAATTGATCATAATGGCATCATTACAATTTTTGCTAGCATTATTGCGGTGTGACGTCATGTGAAACCAAGCGTTGTAAACTCATCTAACATTTTTTACTGGCCAAAAATGTACACGTGCCTAAATGAATAATATTGATTTTAGTGGAGATAGGGCCATGAAAGTTTACACCAAACTATTCTGAATGACGCCTTAAGCGTTCAGAGAGCAGTTTTTACCTTTTCCTGTCTTTGCTTCCAGTGCTTTCTTCAATCTTTCAACTAAAGCCGGCTTATTCCCTTTGGTGTCCAAACCGAGGGCGCCAAGCTCGGATCTAAGATCCACAACTTTCATCTTCGCCGGATCCATAATTAAGTTTTATTCAATAGCCTTATTCACAAATCACTCTGTTTCAATTCACATACAACAGCTTCCTTATCAAGTGTAATCAGACATTACTAGCAAAATTTTACAGTGAGAAAGCGCGAAGCCAAACCAAGATGGCCGCGCAACAACACGTAACGGATCCGGAAACGGAAAGTAACGATTTCACAAAAAACTATTTGTCTATGAAATAGATGAAAAAATCGACTAAAAAGAATACTTCTGAAGTGACTTTTACTATGTGCGATGCGAAGACTATCCACGCGCCTCTAGCGGCGAAATTTAGAAGTTGTCTAAGAACGACACTTTGCTTTCAAGTTGAGTTTAAACATAATCAAATGGATCACAATTACACACAGAAACCAGTTTCTAATAAAAGCAGAAACAGAAAATATTGTTGCGTTCCTGAATGTAATAAAAACTTACGGAGATTCGGGAATAAGTTGTCATTTATTTCCAAAAGACAAAATTATTAATCAAATGAAATTATTATTCGTCGGCGGTATTTCCGAACCGATACGACCTTCAAACCTTCAAGAGAAGAGCGTACTCCTTTTTAAAGGGCCGGCAACGCACCTGTGACTCTTCTGGTGTTGCGGGTGTCCATGGGCGGCGCTGATCGCTTACCATCAGGTGATCCGTCTGCTCGTTTGCCTCCTATTCCATAAAAAAAAAATCCATTTTCTTCCTGTATGGAAGTGGAATATATAGGTTGCTTATACTACTACTCCCATACCCTCTTAATTATTTTGACAATGGTAAAATTGAAAAAAATATGTCATTTAGAGTCATTGGTGTTTTGTTTGGTATGCAGACATGTTCTAATTATTTTAACAATATGTGCCCCATGCTGAGTAGGGTATTCAAAGTTGTTATTCCTTGGCCTGATACCGATATTTTAAGTATTAACTTACCTTCAAGTGCGGGAGAGCCATGCTTTGGCACGAATGGGCCGGCTCGACGGAAGTGATACCACGGCCTTATATTTCATCGTGTGAGTGAGGTTACCGGAGGCCCAATTACCCCCCTCCCTAGTTTCCCGAATCCCCAAATCTTCCACAATCCTCAAATTCCCGATTCCCAAAAGGCCGGTAAAGCACTTGTAACGCCTTTGTGTTTCGGGTGTCCTTGGGAGGCGCCGATTGCTTACCATCAGGTGATCCGTCTGCTCGTTTACCGGCTTATGCTATAAAAAACGTAAATCATTCCAAAAATATAAAAATAATATTAGACTCTGCTGAGACTGTGATTGAAAAAGTAAATCTTTAAAATGTAAAAGAAGAAGTAGAAGAACAATATTGGAATAACTCCTTCTGGCCTAACAACTTAAAGAAGTGCTTCTTATGATGGTCGAGCATCAGATAAACATATTGTAAATTAATCGGGAATCTTTAATAAATGCGAGTTTAATGATGGAGTGATGGTGGATATAGGATTGAATTCGAGTGTAATGAAGTGAGTTAGTTATATTAACTGAATAATTAGTATAACATTGAATAATTTTGCAATTTACTTAATTATTTATATACAACAAACCACATAAATCTGATGTATATTTAATTAAAAAAATCTGTGACAAATTATTTACGAAAACTGTCAGTGTCGTTCTTAGACAGCTTCACAATTTTGACACTAGAGGCGCTAGGTAGAATCTTTGCATCGCCAATAGAGATTAAAGTTTAGACTTTAGATAGATAGAAAATAGTTAAAAGCGCGGGAATTACTAAACATCAAATTAGTTGCTTGGAAACAGTATAATATTATGATTTATTAGTTTGTGCTTGTTGATATTATTTGTGAATCTCATAAAATTTAAGTTGATAATGGCACATAGGAAACAAGAGGAAAAAAGTAACATCCTTTCTTTTGCTTTTCATGCGAAACATTAACTTACTTTTTAACTTATTGAAGGTGCTGTGTAATTTTCAGTCTTGCCCAACAACGATTTGGAGAAGAAAATTATAGAAGCTTTTGAAGTTTTTGATCATTCTGCTAAACAAGTTGTTGACGTCAGAGAAATCGGAACGATCTTACGATCTTTAGGTACTTAAAGTAATCATTTAAATCAACCCTATTTAGATAAGTTATCTCGTATCCTTAAGTTCCTGGTTACTTTTAGGAACAAAAACATTTAACGTAGGGGCCTGTTGTTAAAGATTTTCAAGTTTTCATCATAACACAATCGAAGTTTATTATTTTTTAATTTTAATAATCAAAATCATAACAATACATTTTTTGCTTTTAAATTCTCAATGTAAAATAGTCAACAATAATGTCTCGCATTTCAGGATGTTGCCCTACTGAAGCTGAGGTGCAGGAAGTGATTTTGGCGACGGAAAATAAAGAAGCCACGGGAAATGTTCCGCTGGCCAACTTTCTGCCCTATTTGTGCAAGGCTATGATTGAACATAGGTTAAAAATATAATTTACTCCATAAGTTTTATTTTGGGTAACGCCTCTAGAAACCAAGAAGAGGCGTAGCAATGGAAATATTTTGCCTACTGCTTAACGTCCTTTTTTGGCAAGCAGTTCTTTAACAAACTGCTGATAATGCCATACATCGGTTATGGTTCCAGCAGCAGAATTACTTTTATTTCACCCTAAAAACTCAAAACTACTCAGCAATTCTTAAAACCTTTTTCAATGAAGCAGTTCATAACTATCAATGTTTTGTGTAGATTCTACCCGGCAAGTGCGGAAGTGTTACTGGCAGCTTTTCGTTACTTTGACTCGGAGGGCAGAGGCTATCTGACTAAGGAACGCTTCACAAAACTAATGCTGGAAGAAGGGGAACCCTTTACACAGGTCAGCAATAAAATAAATATTGTTCTGACTAGCTGAGCCCGCGACTTCGTCCGCGTGGAATAGTGATTCACAGCTCCTCCCCCGTAGTTGATATCATGATAATATTATGTAGCCTAGAAGTATAATATACTTATCGGGTCAACATAATATGTTAGTAATATTTGCAAAATTTGAAGAGTTCTTCCCGGACATACATACAGACAAACAGACAAAAATTCTAAAAATCAAATTTTTGGTTTCGGTATCGACTGTAGATCACGTCCCAAGCATTCTTAAAAAAAAAATAATCGATGTACAGTTTTCAATTTCCTACGGTTTTATTATACTATGTATATGTATACTTTTCATAAATAGATTTCCGTTAGCGGCTTCGCCTGCATGTAATTTAGGATTTCTCCCAAATAATTAAGTGGCAGTCTGCCTTCAGTTTACAAAGGATCTTTCCTAATTCTTACTGAAATGTAAACCTTCCAATAGTTTTAATCGATTCGATATAGTGTAGTAGCATTAAATGCAATCAGAAATATGAAATTAGTTGCGATTTGTTGCTGCTGATTTTAAACTTAGGTATTATATTAATTATTCATCATTATAAATTATTTTAAATCGTATTATTGCTTTACCAGGAAGAGTTTGACGAGATGATGCAAACTGCGCTGGATCCTGTCACCGACACCATCACGTACGAATACTACATCAATCAGCTCATGGTAAGTACGAATTTCATAATTTATTGTCAAAATCAACGTCATTTGAGCAAAATAGACATCGAAAAAAAATTGAGTAGGTATCTGGCGACAACCATCAACTTATTGTCACTATGCCAATACTTATTATTGAAATAATATGTACCTAATATACATACTTATGTGCTATACTTTTGTAATAGGTGTTATTCAAAACGTCGAAGTTAAAAAAAACCATTAGATTGTTTTAAATATTTATTATTTTATTATACGACATTGGTATCACGTTAAAATGGAAACAATTTTTGATAAATATAGTTTTTTAAAATGTATTCCCAAAAGTTCTTACAAAGCAATCATATGGTATCAGTGAAACTTCTATAGTAATTTGAGAGTAATTCATATTTAAAACTAGGTACATACGTCTTAATTAAAGTTACACGACTACACATTACCTTTTAAATTAAGCACAATCTATTATGTAAATGACCATAAAATATTCTCATGCGTTTATTAAAGTGAATCTCTCACAATTCGCAAACTTAAAATTACTCATTTGTAGAGTGGGTAACATATTACTATTAAACTATTAAGTAAATAGCTTAGGCAAAATCTTTATCAGGGCTCATGGCGTTTACGTAAATTATCTAATTAAGAAATAAGGTATTCTAATTCTGTGTGAGCCGGCTCGCTCGTCGGGTACGAATGGTGCTGGGCGTGACGTTAGCCAGTCGAGCAGACATCCGCGTCGGGGTAGACCTCCCAGTCGTAGCTCCTTTCAACTCTCCTAGTTTATCATCCTCAACTTCCATTTTCTTAACTGGTTCGGAGTTCCCATTCTCGGCACCCTTGGAATTTTCACCATTTCCTTCAGTTGAATCTTCAGGTTGTGAAACTTCCGTTTCATCAGATTTTTCTACTGAGTCTTGTGCTTTTGATTCATCATTTGTTTCTGTAGCCTGCTTCGGAGCATCATCAGAAACTTCATCATCTTGTTCATCATTATTTTCATCAGACACCCGTTCCTCCTGTACTTTATTGTTTTCATCTTGTTGGGTATCATTTTTCAGCTCAGCGTCAGTGTTGCTCGTGTTGTTTTCATTATCTTCCTCAGCTTTCCTGATTGTAGACAACAGATCTGTGATCTGGTTGTCCAAATCAGAGGGGATGTTTATGTCATCAGCCGAGTTATCTTCGGTCTTAACTTCAGCCATGCTGACATCTGTATCATTCATATTGTCATTATTCTCACCATTTTGGTCAGCAGTAGAATTTTGATTATCTTTGGAGCAGACTCTCACGCTGAGTGTGGAACGTCCTGCAAAATATAAAATAAATTATTGGAAGATTTTTCTTTTGTGTAGCTTTTCTAGTTTCTTTTTTTAATTTAAGTAAGAACTATTTTTTATTATCAAGCCTTAAATGACTATCTTACCCATGACTGTGCCGTCGGCAGCTACCATGGCGTCAAAGTCCGCTTTTTCAGAAAAGCCAACAAACAGCAAGTTGTGGATGGTCCTATGTTTCTTAATAGATTTTGGGTTGAACTTGTTCAAGAACCCTTGCATAGTTCTTCTCTTTGGTAGGGATGGACGGCCCATTATCTGAAATGTTAAGTTTTATGTCAATAATTCTAATAAAAACATAGCATGTGTAATGCAACATCCAGTGTAGTAGCAATGTATAATCATGAGCTGCTGAGTAATAATATAATCTAATCAATGTGTCTAATCTTCTATGTGAGTCGCGACACTACACTTTAAGAAGGTGGATGTAGATGGAGACTCAATTGCAGTTCTATCTTAAAATAATATTATGATGTGTTTTATCTTAAAATGTTTTACCTTCACATAATAAGGCAAGTTGTACATTGTACGGTTTTCACCCTCTGCACTCTGCTCAACATGTACTTTGGCATCAGAATCACTTTTGCTGACAGGTTCTGGAATATCTGACAGTTTAGTGCCAGTAAGCTTGGCTGCCTTCTCATTTGCCCTCATTATTATTGCCGCCTTCGTGCTTTGGTAAAGGGCGTCCACATTTATGAGCTTGATGATGTACTGGAAGAAAATAATCATTTATTTATCATGATGGAGTATGTTACACCTGGCGAAATCTTACCTCAAAATAAAAAAAAAATCAAACACTTAGTTATGAGCCTCAGTATATGAAGCAAAGGTGGGTGACATAAAAGTTTAACTTACTGGGGTAAACCGTTTCAATAGCCGAGGTAGCACCCTCCTTACTTGGTGAACTTGTACACTCATGTTCAAAAAGTCTTTGTACTCTTGTCCTTCATCCTTCTCAGTATGATTAGCTTTTTCAGAAAGATCTATCTGATTGTCAGAGTTTTCTGACTTCACAGCTTTATCCGACTTCTCGGGTTCGTCCGACTTCTCAGGTTCGTCAGATTTCTCAGGTTCGTCCGACTTCTCAGGTTCGTCAGACTTCTCAGCTTTGTCTGTTTTTTCAGGATTGTCTGCATTTTCAAGTTTATCGGACTGCTCAGTTTTGTCAGACTCCTCGGGCTTGTCTGACTTCTCAGGCTCATCTGACTGTTCAGGTTTATCTGTGTCATCAGGTTTTTCAGACTTGATGCCATTTTCTTTATTCTCAGGATTCTCAGAGTTCTCAGCATTACCAGCTTCAGGTGTTTCTTCATTTACCATGTTTTCGAGCTGAAAATAATAAAAATTGTTTTATTACTGATTTTCAAAATAAAATTAATAAAATTGATATCGAAGTAAGTGTTAAATACTCACTTTAGAAAACATTTCATTCAATTTGGATTCAATTAGAGCAGTCATATTGATTTTGAAAAATTCTCCTGGATCATCTGCAAAATAAAATATATAATTAATTATGTATTAATCAGTGTGTAAGTAAAATATTGTTAATGTAAGTAATTAATGTATGTGTAAATTCAAAATTATCTAAACTCTTACATTTTACATAAAATTTTTTGAAAAAAAGAAAAAACAAATAGTTTTTTAGAAAACAAAACTTTAAGATTTTGCAAATTGCTCATTACATAAAAAGATTTGACATTGCTAAAATAAAAAAATGGCTTGATAACGATTTGAGGTGAATATGATAATATAATTTTATGTAATAAATATAATACAAGGATTAAAATGAGTAATAACTACCTGCTTCAATAAACTTAGATTTCGGTTTTTGTTCAGTCCCTTGCCCTACGGCCCCTCCTGCTTCTATAGCTAGATTTAGGATCTCAAGATCAGTTTCTTCTGGGAACTCCTCTCGATAAATCGCAAGTATGTCAATTAAACTGCCAACTACTTTTCCTAACATGACGTTACGAATACGTTCCCGCACGGCTTGTTTCATAACACGCTGCATTTGAAGAGTGCGTAGCAAGACAGCGTGTTCAGGTTTCCGATCGATCATTGCCCTTACGTTTTTCATGATCGCACCCAAAGCCAGTTCCAAGCGCCCGCTCACCTGCTGCGACGGCACGCTATTAGGAAGCAACATGTTCGTCATGTCCCCTGAGGGTGCCCCGGTCGCAGCTGCTACCAAACTTTTACGTTCAGCGATGCTGCGAGACGCTAGCTTATTGGGAGCAGGAGGCGCTTTGGACTTTGTTACTTTAGTTGGAACGAAATTCTTTTTTTGCTGTGTCACTTTTTGGTTCGCGATCTTTTGGCCTATAGATTGCTTTATCTTTATATCCATAAGAGGTGCTGGCTGGCCGTAAGGGTACTTCGGACCTTGGTTTGGAGGACCAGGATTGGACCTTTGGTTGCGGACATTTGCAGGTCCAGGATTATTGTTTGGGTTGAATTGGGGTTTCTTTTTTGGATTGAGTTTTTTAGGGGGACCGTCGTATTGCCACTGATGTTCAGGTTGGCGTTTTCTGCCAAACTGATTGCGTTTGGGTCCGGAGTCATACATGTGGTTATAATCGCGATTGGAACCATGCTGATCGGGTTCATCATATCGCATTTGATCGTATGAATGTCTCTGAAATTTAATTATAAATAATGAAGATAAATATTTAAACAATATGCTGAAGTTAAGTCAGATGTGGCCATTCATTCTGATTACCTAATATTTATGTTAAAATACCAATAAACTCTAAGTAAATTAATCAATTAATCAGGTGAATGGTAATAAATACTTCAGCATATTTAACTGTGAACTTGTCCAATGATGATAATCATTAGAATTATGTTCACTCAAAGAAACTATTCCAGACTGTGATAAACTCCAATAACTAAAAATAGTCACAGAGCAAGGTATTGAACACAGCAAGATTTAAGTTTTTGAATTCCATACACACTGTCACCGAAGGTTTGTCGAAACAGTCTCCTGACCAAAAAAATAATGTTGAGGAAATTATGACCACAACATCATCATCAAATTCCAACTTTTTCAACAATGCTTTACACAGTGTCATGGTAGAATTTAAAAACATCTTGGCTGTGGTCGGTGCATCATCTTTTTCTCAGTAAATATTTTCAGGTTTGGAATCTACCACACTGGCAAAAATATAGTAGTATATAATTAATTCCACAACATAAACAAATAAATATGAAATTGTTTGGTTCTCCTTTAAGTAGGAACACAAATAAAATACAAAATTTTTGTTCACTACAAAAGCCTTGAGAAAACTTTGCTTCATGTTATGACAATATGACTTAAGAACATGATTGTTGACTACACAGCAAGTTTGATAACAATATTTGGTACCAAACTAGTTGGTAGGTCAACAACTTTAATTGTTGGTCTCACATACACTCAGTTTTAGGCACTGCAAGTTGGGGTGTAGTAGTATGAATATTCTAAAACAACTATTAAAGATTTAATACAACTTTCTATGATACTTTATAAACTGATTACCAAACTCTAATAGCTAATAAATACAACAACTGGCATGCCTGCAAATTAGAGGTAAGAGAAGGAAAAAGTAACTATAGACGTACCGAAGACTTGAACTGTTGCTCCATTACCAGCAACTGTTGTTGTTGTTCAATCATCTCACGTTTGCGCTTCAGGAGCTCTAGCTCCAAATCAATGTCCTGATGAAATAATATTGTATATTAGTATGAGGAAATGATGAGGAAGTCTGATCAATCTCTTTCCATGGTATTAATCTATATGAAACACAAATTGTGTCTTACTTAATACATGCTCTCATAAATTATTGGCTAAGATAATGGAAATCATGAAATAAGCAACTAACTATATTGAATTGTACTCTTTAAAGTTTTCATTTAGATAGGTATCAGATAGTTCAAAACATGATCAAATACATGCATGTGGTGGTTTTATAAGTTAACACTACTAAATTGAAGTTTAATACTTATTTCCATGTAATAAATAGTATTCTAAAAATAAATGCCACAAGTTTAATAAATCTAAAAAAATTGAGAAATTACATTATTGTGATCTTTTAGTTTGTAATATTATCAACCATTCAACTAAAATTGTGTTTATATACCTAGATATATATATTTTTATATATAATCACTTCATTTAAAAAGTAGATTCGGAGAAATTGATAAAATATATTTTAATTTTATATACGTATTGTATTCAATCTACGTAGACATTGAAGGCTACAATATTTTTACGTGACGTATCCGATAGTTACATGCCATACATTTCATTATGAAATTAAACGATAAACAAGGTATTAAAATAGGTCTCCTTTGTCTCTATAACATTATTATGCATTTTGATTAAGCGTTAGGTTATACGTGGTAATTAATTTTATGATTTACCTGCAAATGTTCCGTCATTAGAGGTCCGTGATTGCTGTTCATATTGTTACCACGACGTCCTAAACTGCGCCGCATTTTGAGGTTTAGATATTATATTATCTTGAACTTTTAACAACTAGAAACTCTATGAAAGAATGTTGAAAATGTTTCGACCGATCTGACTGAAAGTTGACAAGCCGAAAGTCGCCGCGTCCACCATTCATGTACTGTTATTTGTGTGTTGCCAAGTTAGCTAACACATTTTCCATACAAATATTATAGCAAAAGATTATAATAAGTTTAGTAAAGCGTTTTGGATGTGTATAACACAAACATTAGATAAGTTCTAATGCGGACCTATAAATTGCTATATTTTAAATATTACATAAAGTATAATTAATTACCCCAAAACTTCAAACGTAAAGCTTAACTTTTACCTGAATAGAACCAAATTTTGTTAATATGGCAACATTATAAACATAATCGATTTAGTAAAATCATTGCAATATTAAAAAAACATATTTAGTCTATACTTAACAAAATATTTCATCAAGTATAGAATCGACTAAATGTTTTAAATCATTTTGAACCCATGATCACTGGCTCATTTTCTTTTTTTTATTATTTAAAATAATATACGGAGCAATAAACTTTTAGTAGCTAATGTTTTATTACTGTACGTCTAAACAAAACCTGCTGTGAAAAATTTACTTTCCTCTATATTCCTTTAGTCCTTGAATCCCATATATCCATACCTTATTTCCTACAAAACCCATCCTATCCTAACTACATTCCTTTCTCAGGTGGCGCATAAAGATGTGTACCAACTTGCAGATTTTTGTGAAGAAGAGAGAAAAAGGCTAGCGGACGCTCAACCAAAAAAAAGACGAGCCTCCTCATTATTGCGATCTGCTGCAGCTACTTAAATTAATATTAATGCTGTTGTTTTAAATTTTGGTTAGTAAAATAATCTAAAACTTATCTAGTACAATAGCAATTCAGCCTTTTTTATTTTTTTTAGCCTTTTAATTAAAAGTACACCAAAACTGACTCTTGTTTTTCGAAGTCGGTAAAAAATAAACATGTATATTAGCCTTAGCCCTTAGGTCCTTATCCTGTCCTATTATTAGTCCCCAATATTATTATGGTGCGTCCACATTTAGCGATTGCGCCTTAATTAATTAATGTTTGCAACACAATCGGTTGCTAGATTTTAACTAAGGTAAATATTTTTTTCAGGTGGAAGATGAAGTTGCCGAAAACCAGGAACCACCGAAATAAAAGATATTATTATTTGGCATCCCAGAACACTCACTAAATACTCAATGTAGAAAGAAAAACTAAAATAAAATCTCAATAATTTTTATCTACTTTTTTATTTGACTTTATTATAAGTAACCAATTTACATAATCAATATGAAGTTGACTTTTAAGGACTAAGGTCCAAAGAATGTTTCTACATATTTCTAGATTTTACAAATCTTCTTAAATTAATACTTAAGTAACTATTCATCCTCGGATCCACTGCACTCATCGAGTACAATACCCTCGGACATAAGCGCAAGGATATCTTGGTCGTCCAATTCATCATTATCGCTTTCAACCTTGCTTTCATTTTTATTATTCATTTTGATTGTTTTTGCTGGAGTAGGATTTGGTTTCTTTATGGTCGTATTAGGGGCTGGTTTCTTTGCTATGTTATTAGCATTAGAGTTTGGTTTCTTTATTTCTTTACTCTCAACAGGCTTAGCTACATTCTTGACTGGCATTGCTTCCTTTACAACCTTATTTGCTACAACCTTTTTCTCAGCAGGCTTGTTGGCCACAGCAGGTTTATTAGCTACCTTGGCACTATTTTCTGATGGTTTATTTTCGACTGCTACCTTCGTAACAGGTTTTTCCGCTGGTTTCTCATTATCTGCTTTATTGACAGCTGGTTTTTGATTAGCTACTTTATTAGTAGTAGCTTTCTCGTTAGCTGCTTTATTAGCCGCTGGTTTGTCACCATCAGCTTTATTAGCTACTGGCTTACTCGCAACAGGATTTGTATTCGTTTTATTAGCAGTTGTCTCAACTTTGGTTACATTCTCATCCTTATTTACTTTTTCCTTTAAAGAATCACTTTCTGCAGGTTTCTCTTTATTAGTTTTTACTTCTGGTTTGTCATCTTTTTCGTTTATTTCTGCATTTTCATCACTAGCATTATTATCATCTTCATCATAGAAACTTGTAACTAGGTTTGGCGGGCACTTGGTAAACTTATAGATTGGGTTGACTATCACTTTCACTTCACCTGTAATTAAGAAACATGCATTAAATTTCTAAAAATAAAAAAAAAATAAGTATACTGAACAGGGACTCAAATTATAAACAAAAAAAATTCCTGTCCTGATTTTATTAATATACAATAGTATTTTTTTTGTCTGTTGCACAAGAATATGAAAAGTATTGTAACATATTATAAGCAGTTCTGCATTGAGCAAAATATTGCTTGCTTTTGATTACATGAGAGTAATCTTCATCCATGAGACTATTTATAATATTTACAAGAAGTAAATATAATTTGGAAGTTATTGAAAAAGGCTTATGTCAGCATTAGACGTATTAGTGACTGATATGATGATAATTATAGTATATTACGATTACGAACCACATCTAACTTCCTTTTCGCTACATATTTTGTCGAAGTCGCTGATAGACTTCACTTGCGCCGCAAACATGTTCACCGTCTTCTCAATACGTTTGAACGCGATAAAATTATATCGCTTTAGGAAATCGCCTAGTTGGTGCTTTTCCGGTTTTCCAGAGAATTGGACCTGAAAAATTACCATTATTAAGTATTTTCAGGAAAGTGAACTGTACAGTTGTCATTTTTGTTTACAATTTGTCAATTTTACGTAATTAAAACCATCCGTTAAAAAGTTATGTGATGATGATGCACCTAGTCGAGTTCCTCGTCAAATAATTACGTCAGCAAGCCGAAAACATAAGAATTGACAATGCAACACTATTAAATAATTAAAAGATGAAAATATAAATACCTTAACATAAAGTGGATTATGAACATTCAACAATCTTTTTGTGACATTCAAGCCCAGAACCTGAAAAGAAAGATTATATTGTTAAAAGAAAATTTTATTTTGAATTAAGTTTGAAGCACACAAAATTGTTTTTCAAAGGGCTTAGTACGAGTTTATTCCAGTTTTGATATAATCGAACCGAAACGAAAAACTCTGATTAGTTGGTTCCTTGGAGACGGCTTAGCGAAACTCATACAAAGCCCTCAGGGCGGCCAGATTCAGTATTTTCTTAGAAAACGAGCGGACTGATCACGCTCACTGCCTGCTCGCTTTCTAAGAAAAGACTGAATGAATTCAATCAGGTGATCCTGAAAGTAAACAATCAGTGCCTTCCATGGACACCTACAAAACCAGAGGAGGTACAAGTGCGTTACTGGTCTTCATAGTTGTTGGATTCTTTAATCTTTAACTAAAAGGTATCCAAGAATAGCAGAAGTATTGCTTACGTTTCTTAGATGATCACCGGCCGCATTCCGTAGTTTGTCGACGACAAGAGCCTCGGCCTCGTCCATCGGATTGTCGGGAAGTTCCTGCCATACCTGTAATATTGGAATATTCATTAGTTATTATATAGTTTAGTAATATGTAAAACAGAATAAGGGAACAGGTACTCCATCGGGTGGGTCGCTGGTAAGACTAACTCACACGGCGAAAGATATCGAAAATGTTTTCACACGTTCCTGTAAGGCCGAGATATCCGGTACTCCGGTCGAACCGGCCCATTCGTGCGGAAATATGGCTCTAGATTTCTTCATTTTAATATTTCGCAATAAAGTTTAAATACTTTAAGAAATATTACCCTCATTAGATTATCTTCTGTGTCGTGGATGATCATTCAAAATTACAAACATATAAATTCACATACACATCACACTCAGACCAGGAATAACAATCTGTGGATCACACAGAGAATTGCTCCGTACGGGAATAGGACACACGAGAAGTTGCTCAGTAGCCGGTTCCCGGTTGACCAACCACTGCGCCAACCGTGCAGTTATAAAAATATAAAAGACTATGGTGTACATAGCTTATCGTCTATGATAATAAATATTTGAAGACATTACCTTGATCATAATATCCCTGAGTTCTGTTTCCACCATTTTGGTCATGCGGTCGTTCAGCTCGTAGATGCCGCCCTGTAGCGGAGGCTCAACGGGGATAGGCAGAGGTGCTGGTTTCTTCTCCTCTTCTTTCTTCATTTCCACTGCTGAAATAGTTTTTTTTTTATAAATTAACATTTGGGATGTTTTTCACTCAAGAATAAAGTGTGGCGACTAACGAAAATAATAAAGTATGCCTTTTGATTCATTGTTATAACAATTATGTCAATTAATATTGTACATTCAATTTGACCCATTACAAAATACTGAACACTCACGTTTTTTGACGGACTGCTGAACAACTGAACTTTCCGCAACAGTTTTGGCAGGCCCTGACGCAAAAAAGAGAAACATTACTCAAGTCATTTACATAGTGCCATAATAATATTATAGTAAATTTTTAAATAATACCTTTTGTGACTCTAGGCTCATTCGCGATTGGCTTTTGTTCAAGCTTCACCAACTGATCTGGTTTTCGCCTTAAAATGGTTTGAAGAGGTCTCTGTTTCTTTGGACTTAACACCGGCCTTTTCTCTATAAGAAATTAAACACAAAATATTTCTTAGTTACATAGCAATTTGTGTCTTACTTTGCGGAAGTAAAGTTCAATATGCAAGGTGCTTAACATTAGCAAATCAATTTCGATTTTCTTGGACGTAAACTAGTAATAGATAATTTAAAACTTAAAATAATTTAGCACATGTGTGACATAGTGTGACATTTTAAAACAATAACACATTGTAAATATTTAATGCAACAGGATAGGACTAAAAAGAAAAGAAGATCATAACATCTGTAAGAATAGGTTCTACAATTTTAATATTTCGCCAATCTCCGCCTTGTGTAGTCTTCTCACGTTGTACCTACAAACTAAAAATATACATACGAACAAAATATAGGTACCTATAACATTACATCAACTGCTATGGGAATAGTGCACCTATTAAAAATAACAAAACCTCCAGATTTTCTAAATCCAAATACAGAAAATATTACATGACGATGTAAAGACCTTTAAATGAACAGACACAATAAAATAATGAAAACCCTGGTTTAAGCCAACGTGGACAATAGAACTCCACACTGCTACAAAACTCGATCCAAGATTGCGAAGAAAATATTTACAGCTGAAATTCTGCTATCCATATCACGCCAAGCGGGTACCTTAGAGTTCGATTATCCACCGCAGTTCTTTCTGCCGAAAACATTGCCAATGTCCTAAGAGATCACGAACAATTAACATGAACAATCAATAAACATTCACAATTTTCCGTCAAGTAAGACACAACATTGCATAAATGAATCATCATCAAAATCAGGCAAAAACACCGTCCACTGCAGAACAAAATATTCTTTTAGGTAAAAATATCTTTTAGGTTGGCGTAATTGCACAATTGCACGCCCTAGTATTCGCAGTTAGGTAATCAAAAATTTAAAGGACACTGCTATCCATCCCTCGATGCCGTAACAAAACCACTTCATCAGATCTCATGACGTTCCTAGACTTAACAATCTCAATATCACCAGAAACATGCAAAACTATCCGGACTATATCTTACAGCAAACTTGTTTACTAATTTTGAACAATATTTGCAAAAATCTTAATATTAAGTCCAAGTAGAATTCACCTTCCAAAGAGAGTATTTCCACCTTTCCGTTGCTCCAAAATCCACTATATTGAGAGAAAATCATGGAATATTTATGAGCACACAAAAAGATCCTGAATTTTTTCGAAACCTAATCAATGAACAGAAGCGAGAATTACGATTACGATCCGATTTGGCAGTAGCGGAACTAGGTACAAAAAGCATGTTTGACTGTTTTTAGGTAAACTTACCTAACTGAAGTAATACTGTCTCCAGTAATGAGTTTTTGCGATTTATCACACATAAGCAAGGGCTCATACTAATACCTGAGTATGTACTAAAGATGACAATCTTCTTGAATTGACCCAACTTCAAAACTGCGTACATTTCTTGTTTCTTCAAAGGAGACATTTCAACAAAACTATATTTCATTTGCACTGTCATTTAGAAGTACTGCATAACCTGTAGACCAAAATGCTAGTTTCTGACCTTTCAGTAGGACAGTATAAAAACTAACGCTGAAAAAAAATTAAAATAAAAAATTTAGTCTTACCG